TGGCACACTAACTAGTGTGCCAAAGGCAAGAGGACTGTCTGTGCAGTGACAACAGCTGCCTGCTGTGACAGGAATTGTGGTTGATGAGAGTGGTGTGACTGAAACTGAAACAGTGAAGGAGCAGGATGTAAAACCAAAACAATGACCTGAAGGAAGATAGAAAAAAAAAAGGTTAGTACAGATGAGGGGAACTGAAGTCAGATGATAATTCTCTGCAGGCTCATCACTATGAGAAACCCCTATCAGATCACACACAGTTATTTGATCCATTGTTAATATAAAAATATTCATTAGAGCAGCTTTAAATATACTTTCAGATTCATTCATTCATAGCGACTCACCACTAGACATGTGAGCCTAATATGTGCTGTGTACTGACATCATACGGATTCATTTGCCATTAGCTCCCACCAGCAGTCTCCACCATATTAAGTTACCAAAAACACACTGTCTGCACTTAGTTAATGCTACTTATGCATTTGTTCTTCAGCACATGGGGAGTAAACAGTTCTGTACAGGTGTACTCAGGGTTTCTTCAGTGTTGGAATTTTAACTTTGAAACGGCAGGTGAGTGCAGCGGTTTCCTCTCAGCGTGGAACATCCTGTCACATACCTGAGAGCTACTTCCTCTTCAGAAAAACATCAATATTTACCAGAATACACAGAACCCTCTAAATCTAAAAACCCCCTCACCCACTAGCATGTTTTTCTGTTCTGGTGCCAGTTGTCATCCCACCAGTGCCAGCTGTACCTCATCTTTATTTATGACTTTTTTTTTTTTTTTTTTTTTTTTTTTTAAATATTTCTTTTCAGAGAGAGTACACCACAGAGAAGACCTTTTAACAGTAAGCATGCTGCATTCCTCCTGCTGGTCCACAGCTGGACTCCAAAGTAAAGTTTACATTCCTGGGCTGCTGGGAGGAATGCTGCCCTCTGGGGCTCTGGATCAGGCTTGAGGATTACAAGTCAAGGACCATGGATGGAGACTGGGATGCCCAGTTACAACACAGTTTATTTACCCACACTTTAATGATATAACTTTTAACCATGTGTACATTGATCAGATCTGCAGACTTGATGAGGAGAATACATAAACAGCTATTTTTATATATATATATATATGTATATGTTGATGCTTTAGTGATAATTTTGAGTTGCAACTTAGGGGAACTATGGTTCTGAAGTGAGTATTAAACAACATTCTCCACAACATTCTGGCAGCACAGAGAAGCAGCTACAGCTGCAGTAAACATCTCATCTCACTGCACTGCAGAACAGAGAGGTTCAGAAGATCCTTTGTCCCCACTGCCATCAGGCTATACAACAACTCAGCCAAAGGAAGTGGACTAATTTAATTATTATTGTTTATTTATTATTAACTGGTCTTATTATTATCAACAATGAGCTAATGGACTAATGGCTAAAGTATCTATTTATCTATCTATCTATCTATCTATACTCTGAAATGCTAAATCAACACTGGCATAAAGTCTAATTCTTAGAGTCTTAGACTTTATATATGAAGTCAGATTATATTTTGATGCAGGTGTGATACTTAGTGATGAAAAGGCTTATTCAATATTCAACAAGCTGACAAATGAGGCTGAATTGAACAGACACAACCAGAATTTTTACTGCTTAATTATGACTTAACAATATTCATACAGGTATTACTCACAGCCATGACAAATCAGTGCCAATAATGCATTCTACAGCATTGAAATATGTCTCTCTTTAGGTTTAATTAACCCTTCAAAACACAGGTGGAATCAACATCACTCCAAGGTAAATACAGTTTCTATTAACATGATTGTCCAGAATCATCCTGTGGGCTTTAGTTAGCCATTAAAATAGTGAGGATGGTTAAAAAAAAATAAGGTTCACTTATGATGAGGACAAGGCTACTGCTAACACAATTTCAGCTGAAAAAATAATGTAGACTTTGGAGCTATTTCCGCTCCATCTGATGAGAATCATTATTCGCTGATCTGCACTCCAGAGCAGACAAGGATTCATTGTCTCACTCAAGGACACTTCTGCAGAATGTACTGCTGAGGGGCTTGAAACCGAGCAGCAGCCACTTTGAAGAACAGTCTGGACTTTGAGCTAATCTAACTAACATGGATGGGACCTGACAAAAAAAATTCTCAGATCATAGTCAGTCAGATCTTCCTGACTGGCTGTGATAAAGGTCTGTTGCAGTTTAGAAGAGCCTACTTTTATTCCATGATACTGTATAAGGTGTAGGGCTATTTTCTTAAACAACTTAACCCTCTGCATATGTGCACTACTGTAAATAGTGGGCAATGAAGATATGCTAAATGACTATATCTCCTAAAAACTGTGTTGTATGCAAATTGACAGTCATGGTGAATAGCAGTCAAACAGAAAAAAAATGCACAGTAAAAGCATTACATAGTGGTATATTATGGATTTGATGGATATGGTAAGTAATCCTGCACTGCCCCCTGTTGGCAGAAATAATTATTTTCTTTGATCAGATTTTTAGTTTTTTAACAAATTTACACATGATCATTATGGAGGCAAACATTTCAGGAGGTGTAAGTAGAGAAAAGGAGTACAAACTTGGGGCTTGGAGTTTGAAAGACATGAGTATTTACCCGGCAGGAAAGTTTTAATGACACTATGAAGTTGAATTATGGGAAGTGTAGGATCCAGTGTTTTTGTAGCTTTAAGGAACTCAAAGTCAGGATATCTTGGCTTCTGCAGCTTCAATTTTGTCTTTAATCTGCCTCCCACATGTCCCCCAACGTAATGTGTGTCTGATAGTAAATTGCTGCAGTGTCCCTTTAAGATTTGGATTTTATCTTATACAACTGTCTGCATATAAAGCATTGATATTCAGCTCTGTGAAATACTGTTACTAGGCCATATTTAATCCTCCTTCAACAGCCAGTACTTGAGTTTGTTTTATGAAATGATGTGTCTCCTCCACTCTCTCGGGGAAAAGAAGCAAACATGAAAAGTGTCACCTTCCCTGTTAGAATTACATGGTGTATTTAGAAGAGCTACTTTCAGCTTATTAATGGAGAGGAATTCTAACGGCAACTTGTTATTTTCCCCAATCCACCTTCTCATGACGCACCTAAGAGACCTGACTTCAGTGAGCTCAGTATTTGCCTGGATATTTCTCCAATTTATTTGGATCATAGCAAAGTGAAATGTCCATGTTCAGTCTCTCCTGTGAGTCTAACTTCTGTCATTATTTGTGATTTTCCACACAAGCAGGCAAAAAGAGCCTCTGTACCCCAGACACATTATGCTTTTATAAAGAACACTTGTCAACAGGTTACCTCAATCTGCCAAGTTCAGCCTTGATTCTTGTCTGCTAGAGTCACATGCGGACCTGTGTTCAGCATTCTTCTTAAATAAGGCAGTAAAATAAATGTCAGGGAAAATTCGATCAAATGAAAAACCACCAAATAATTTGTTATGTGTCTGTCCACTTCAAACCAAACACCGCCCACTTCCCCTGCAGTAACTTTGCACTTGGTCAAACTTTCCTTAGCCTCCTTTGCTGTGATATTTCTGTTTCTGAAGGAAAATCCTGCTCAGCTCTTTGCAGCAACCTGCCACTTTCTGTGTGTGTAGCCAGCCCAAAATATTCCCTGGCCTACTGACGCCCAGTTCAACCCGTTCTCTGCCTGAGTGATGTATTTACAACACTGTGTCCAAATCCTTCTCGTCTCTCACTCTGCCAAGGAAACCTTTGCCTTCTGCGTCACAGAAGTCTGTTACTTCCACATCCCGTTCCAACTCCAATACCGTCTGTTCTGACATATACAAGCTAACTCCCAATCTGCCCCCTGATCTCATCCTCTCATGGCTGCCTGAAATTTACTTCCTTCAGGCTAAGGGGTAAACAAGGAGATGACATATGATGTGGTTTTTAACTATTTCCAACCAGGTTTGATGTTTTTAAGACAAAAGGTCTCCTGAGGTGTGCCACAGGGATCTATTGTTGGTCCTCTTTTATTTGTTTTTTTCTGTATATTTCTGCTATAAATGTTGTTTGTCATGTTAAATGTAGATTTTCAATTTTGTGTAGATGACATTGCTGTGTTTGGCTTAGCTCCAACAATTAATGATGCATTGATTCAACCACAGTTTTGCTTTTGATAAGGTCTGGTCTTAGCCATGAGAAGATAGACTGTCCTTGTATGCAGAAAATTGTGAGTTAATGCTCTTCTCAAAAACAGGAACAGGTTCTTGCATTACAAACAGATATAATTAATGACAGACCTTGTTTTAAAAGTAACCCTATTGAGCTGAAACTCTGGGTAAACACATTTTCAGTCACATATGTCTAAATAATTAATAAACAAATGATATGTAAAGCAACATGCCTACTGAGTGTCACCCAGCAACCTGTCATTTATTTATTTAACTCTGAATGGAAAACTATTGCAGAAACAGTCTGTTTTCGCAGTAACAATTACGCTAGTACCAGAGGAACAATGTAAAATAGCCTAAACTCAAAGAGGCAGCAATGTCAAATGGCAGTCAAATTATTAAAATAAATATGAATCAACTATTAGATTTTTTTTTATTGAAGAATAATGTAATCATGTAAAAAATCATATAATTTTACATCAGGTTCTGTACATTCAGGTAATTTATTCAGCACATAGGCAGCTAAATCTCAATAATGAAAACATACATATGATCATAATTTTACATCTAGGTCAAACAGTTGCAGCAGTTGTAGTTTTTGCTTTTACTTCCTGTACTTTGTATTTACCTTTATATAATTTGTACCAGTTTTGGTTTCTTCATACATAAGCAGTTTGTCAGTCACAGAAAAAAATGACAAAAAGTCATGAACACAAATGATCAACCCACAGAGGTGTTTCCACGTACTGCGGCTGACTAGACTTCTCAAGACTACGACTGGTTGCCATAGCTATGGCCACCTAGGGACACCTGTGTGGTGTGCAGGGGTTTTAAATAAAAAAAACCTAAGTAAGTTAAAACGAACTATAAACCACAACCCAAGTTATTACTCAATCCTTGCAAGAACTGGCTGCTGTACATTCTTTGTGTCTAATCACCTGTGGTTTGACAATGGTAATGTAATTTGATTTATTAAAAAGGATTATCCTTGATGTAAAAGCAATCACTCTGAGCTATGCAGTTAAAACAATTTATCTAGACAAAGGAAACACACCACCTAATTTAAGGAACAACTCTTCCCCTTATTATTTGGGGACTGGCTGATGATTGGCTGATAGTGGAGTGTATTTTAAAGTCCTAACCACAAGTTGTAGCATGAGTATGTACAGTACTTCCTCATTCAGCATTAGAATATAACAACATGAATTTGAACAGAAATTAACTATTAATTTTAATTAATGATAACTTAAAATACAGGAGATAATAGATTAAAAAAGGCTTGCGCACCACGTTAGAATAAACTGAATGCAAATTGGCAACATTTTACCATGGCTACAAGGGTGGCTTTTGTTTATTCACAATCAATTTACATAGGGCACTTCATCGTTTAACTGTGGAGAAACTTTTAGCACGTGGTCTTTTCATATGTAACCAGACAAGAGGAAAGCAGCTGCAGAAATATGAATACAGATCTGAAGGTTAATCTCTTCCTACAGACACCTGCCTCTTCATTGCACCCACAACCATTGCCTTTATTGTATATTATCTAACATTGAACTCAATGGAGATTCTCTCAACAATGTCAGGGCAATAGGGACAGTTATTCAGCAACAATGACTGCCACTGAACACAGAAATACTTCACCTGTGTTCGCTCCTTCAACTGACAAGCAGGTGTGGATGAAAATCATGGCTAAATCAGACACAAATAATTATTTGTGTTACAATTACAAATTACATTTAAAGCTGATTATAACAATAAAGCTACCAGCACTAGCTTTGTTTCACCATGAAGGAGCAGTGGGCAGTCCTGTCAACGAGGACTAAAAAAAACTTTAAAATATAATCAAACCAAAGAAGGATAGATAGTCTCAATGATTCCCCTCATGACGCAGGGTGTGGGGGGGGCAAGGAAAGGAGCAGGCAGAGGAGAGGAAGGACGGTACTTCATCCTTTGTCCAGGCTGATGACTGAAGAGGAGAGGAAAACGCCCTCATTTGCTGACAGCTCCCCAGATGATAAGTCCTATTATAACAGCAGCTACAGCCAACACTATCATCAGGATGCATATCTTCTTCCGGGAGCTCCTCTGGGGGAAGAAAAGCACAACTTTTTCTTTTATTTTCAACCTTATGCCTCTTTCTCTAAGTCTTCTTTAAGTAAAAAAAGTGAATAATAACTTGGTTACACAAGGGTGTCCACGTGCAGGTGGTGGAGAACCACATATGCTCACATGCTGTAACCTCAGAGATCCCTCGAGGAACCAGTCTTGCTCAGACCTCTTCCTTGAGCTACCAGTTACAAACTAACTTCTCTAACATTGACACATTTAAATGCCTCTCCACTCCTCTTCTCCTTATCCATTTTCCTTCAATGCCTTCTTTTTGTATCTGTCTTTACATTTTTACTCTCTTCTGTTAATTCTCTTCTCTGTCCTCTATGTTTTACCTGGTAGTCTGCAGCACGGGCGAGCTGCTGGGTAGCGTTCTGGACGTTCACGTCTGCAGTCTCCACATTGGCTTCTATACTGTCTGCAGAGCACACAGGAAACGCACATAGTTTTACATGCAGCAGGTGGGCAAAACAGGGGAGCACCTATTTTTCAAAATTCTACATGTACAATGAAATCACATCATCAACCCAGTAGATGCAAACACACGGTCCAACATGTAATGCTAATTTTGTTTTGTTTTTTTGAGATATTGTGTCCAGGGTGGGACATGAAAACACACATTTACAAACAAACACCAGAAATATATTTTTTAGATTCCATAAATGAACTATTTAAAATCAGCCCAGTAGATATTAGTAGGAATATTTCTCATTGCAAATAGTTAAATAAAAGGAATAACAGACAGGTAATGTATAAACTGTGTAAGTGACAGATGCTCACCTATCATGTCTCCCTGCTCATGCACCATCATCCCCAGATCCTTGAAGATGTCATTGATATCTGTGATGTCAGACTAAATCAGAGAGACATATAGAGAGATGGTTCATGTGAGGGGGGCACTATGAGGTGTCTCTCATGTCTGTGACTCGGAGCTGTGCAGTAGGGCTATTGTAGGCATTATATTCTTATTTGTACCTCCAGCTGCCTGATGGCCGACTCTCTCTCCTGAATCAGCCTCAGGTCGTCTTCAGTGATGGCCTCGGCCTGGGCCTGCACCTGGGAGTCACTGCAGGAACAAATGTCGATGCAGTAAGAATAATTAAAATAATAATTACTGGAATAATTATAACAGAAAGGATGATAGTAATCAGACACAGTAGACTGACCCTGGGAATGGAGACACATTTCCAAAGCTGTCCTCAGGCTGGCCTCCCTGTTCAAGGAAATTCAGAGGATTGATAAACATACTTGTACTTAATATTGAAAATATCCAGCAGAAGACATTATTTACTATGATTATTGGTACAGCAACGATTTAGAAGGGACAGGCTGTTATAGGGATGTTATAATGGCCATGACCATAATGCTTCATTAAATATAATTTGATTCAGTGTCTGCAGAACAGTTTGTTGTCAAAAATGTATGCATGGTGACATAGAGCAGCATGTTCCTCATCAGCCATTTATAGCAGGAAGGAACTGTTTGTGCTTATCAGTATGAACACAGCACATACAAATACTTTTCTGTGCACTTAGGTAATTGGTGAGGGAAAAGAGTTGCCAAACAAGCATACTCCCCCAAGGGAATAGGTGTCTAAAACAGTCACCATTAAAAGGCACAGTCATGTGAGAGCTTCTGGTGAACCTTCACTTCAGTTCAAATAAATATGAATAAGCAACTTAAATTAATCCAGACTACTGGCATCTGTTTTGGCAGAAATTTACTGTAATTGAAGACATTATGAGAAACTAATGTCAAGCTCAAAAGCCTCTTCTACAAACTATTTCATACTGTTCTGACTTATTTCTACATCAAAAGCAAACAGTAGATATTGTGTGAAAACTACAAGCAAATTTCTGAATAGATGACACTAATATTTATTCACTGTGTGTGACTGTACTAATTCTACAACAAAGTCCAAAGAATTGTATGTTCAGTATAATTTAGAGACATGTGGAGGCAGACATGTGGGAGTTCCAGAGAGCACAACAAGCGCCATCATTAGGAAACAACACAAATGGGGAAACACATAATAAATGTCACTAATGACAATTACAATACATATAATAAGAGAGCAGGATATTCTGATCAGCGCACTCCTCTAGAAAATAACAGTCAGAAATCTCTCATGTAATGTAGTTTCTTTTTTCTTATCTGCTGGCATATATTCAGACACTGATATCTAGTGCTGTGCAGTGTGCACAAGAACTGTGACACTGGTCACAAGAGCAAGCTCAAAGTTCACTTCACACTCTGAGCTGCTCTTTCTCAGCATCCCCTGCTCCCAATTACTGCCACTAAACGAATGGCTATATACTACTACTATACTGCTATGGAGTGACAGACAGAGATTACTTTTAAAAGCCAAGGAAAACCAGTGTGAGTATATGTTTCATCACTTGAACAATGTGTCATATAGCAGGACACCTCAGAACAGACCAGTTTACAAATGTAATTCAGATCTATATACATTTATTATTACACAGACAGTGGAAAAAAAATGTAGCCAGCATGAACTAGGCTATATGAATTTCCATTGCATCTACAATACATCTTTATAGCACTTCACCCCTCTTTGCTAAGGTCTTACATTCCAACTAATACTGTGCATAAACCTTTATTTTGTAATGTTTGTATTATCTGACAAAAGACACTAAAGGCTCTGGCACCCTTATTATTTTTCAATGCAATTTCGTGGACATCAGTTGTAACCAGTTTTGGTGGGATGTCCTGCATGCTCTGCTTGACTGAACAATTGCTAATTCCCTAAATCTGCTTCATCATGTAAAGCCTCAGTGTCTTAATCGGGCTATGTGTAGAGTGGCCAGAAAAAAAATCCACTTTTGACAAACAAAGCATAAATCGAAATTTAAAAAAAAAAAAACTCACTGGTATAAAGATTATTGGTCACTCACTAACCACTGTCTATCTCACTGGTCTTTGTGACCTTGCAGGCTCAGCAGATAACTCACCGACACCCTGGAGCTGGCTCTGACTCTGGCCACAAACTCTCTCTCTTTGTCGGCTGCCTGCCGCTGGGTCTTTTGGAAGCTGTTTAGGGCGGCAGAGAAGTCATTCAACAGACGATCTTTCTGTATCTTTCTCTGCCGCTAAGAGAAAGGGAAGCCAGAGTTACAAAAGTTCATGTTCAACTAGGAACAAGCAGTGAAATGATGACTTTAAACAGCAGTTAAGTTAAGGACGAAGTCATTATAGAGATCAGTACCTGATCAGGGCCAACAGGAAGTGCACTGAATGCCTTGATCAGTCTGTCAGTCTCCTTGGCTAGCTGGTTGCCTTGCTGCTGTTTCTGTTGCCTGGTGACCAAAGAAAAATGATGTCAGGCATAATCTTTTCATTCTGTTTAAACACAGACAGTCTGGTCAGGCTTTACTGTAAGACAGAGGGTTCTTGGGGAGGGGTGGGGTGGGGGGTGCGGGGTAGAGTACAGTCAAGTATCATGGGACTCTTCTTACAATGGAATGTTAAGCAGCATAAAATCAGGCTGCATCCGCTTCAGGAATATTATTATTTTTAATGATTAATCACATGAATGCTATGAGGCAGGCATGGTTGAAAAATCTCCTTTATTTGTACTATTTATCAGAATTCCAAAACCCAGCCTGTGTTACTCACAGCGTCTGTCGTAGCTGGCTGGTGTCCTGCTCTGTTCCCAGCAGATACACTGCCCTCTGCAGCTCAGAGACTGGTGAGGAAGAGAGAGTGCAGACATTTGTTTATCTGTAGGCCTACTGAAGCATCGCCACGTGTCTACCATCATTCACATACTGGAGTCAGTAAAGTGGGTGCAATTTCAATGTTGCAGCTGAAAATTATGACATCTTCTCTATGTGTGTGTGTGTGTGTGTGTGAGTGCGTGTGTGTGTGTAGTGTGTAGAGTATTACTCAGCAGTGTGAGCTTCTGGATGTTGGTGCTGATGTTGTGAACTAAAGCACTGGGCTCCTCTTGAATCCCAGCCTGGTAGGCCATGATGAAGAGCTGTGAGGACACAAAACAGCACAGTCTGTCACTTCATTTATTCATGGGTCACACTGGGATGTTGTTACCATAGTTACTGCAGTTATTTCAGTGAGCTGATGATTCACTTGTGAAAACACCTTAGGGCAGCTAGGATAAATCTATTTAGCAAGTTAATTTGAATAGTTTCTTTCTGGTGCATTACTTATATATAGACAATTTGCATAAAACTGTGATTCCATGAGCATTTTAGCAGCTATGCTAAAAAATAAACAGAGGCAATAAAGCAGCTACACATTAAAATATCACCTGCTGATCCAGTTATGTAGTGTGTAACACTCACAACCACTCATCTGCGGCTTAGGTTTTAATCCCAGCACTGACATGTCTGCAATCTACATTTCATTCTGAAAACCAGGGCCATTAATGTGCTGCTGTAAGAGCCTCGACTCTCCCGGCAAGGCTTTCCACAGAGTTTGGAACCTGGATGGAATTTCTGCCAGGTCTATCAGTAAGGTCCAAGACGACTTTGGGTGATAAGGAAATTCATTTGAAATAACAGAAACAGCCCCATGTTGACCTAAAGCAGTGGTTCTCAAAGTGGGGTCCAGAGACCCCCAAGGGTGCTTGAGGGGGCTTTTGGGGGTCCCCGGCAAAAAGGGGAATAATTTATTTTCTCTATAATTGCAGTAGAAACGGCCCCATGTTGACAGAAAGTAACACAATGACAAAATGACTATTTTGGTCATGTGTTTCAAACACTTTCTGTAATAAAACATCCAAAACAAAAAAAAAAAGATCCTATCCGATGGGGGTCCATGGTCTAATATGTGTCAGTTTAGGGGTCCTTTATGTGAAAAAGCTTGAGAGCTACTGACTGAAAGTACCCGATGGTGTCCACATACTTTTGTCCATATAGTGCAGCACTGTTGCCCTTGCAGTGAGAGGTAAACCATGAAATGTCAACCACAGGCCAGGTGACAGCAGCTTCTACAACAGGGATCATTTATAACAGATGGTGGAGCAAGGCTGAACATGAAGTTTCCCAGTTTTAATTACAATTTGTGACTTTCATTTTCTAATGGTTCATTTGCTGTCATTTATTATTATATAAAGCCTAAGGTGGAATAGGGTTGGGTCAGTGTTTACCATGAGTCACTCATGCAGACTTCCTGTGCTGTTGATTCAAGACACAGGTTTGAAACCATGGCCAGTATGCAAAGAACCATCTGCTCCCAAGAGACTCTCAGTCTGCGGTTAACCAGTCCTGTCAGTACTACAGGAGGGTTGAATTTTTAACATTTTACTTAAACAAAATTATACATTTATTCACGCTTTCTGCTTTATTTAGACTTGTTGCACCTCCCTGTCTGCCTGCGGGTGTTTGTCCGTTTACTACAGTAGCCGAACTGGCAGTGAGAAGGGAAAAAAATGCGGAAATCATAGGAGTTTAAAAGAGAAGAGGAGGACTGCAGAAATGACCATTCATGTCTATGAGCCACAGCTGTTCACCGGGGTTAAAGCTACTTTATGTGAACTTTACTCCACAGCTGACTCAAAAGCACAACAGTCATCAAGTAACAATCATAAAGTCGCAGCATAATTTGAAGGTTTTTCTCTCTCTAGTTTTACGGAGAAAAAAAACACTTTCTTCGTTCCTACACATGAAACATCACAGCACAAGCTCGGGTTTAACACGCTAACGTGTCCACACTGTTAGTCCTTCCTAAATATTCAGCTTAGTGTAAAAGTTTTGTGTTTTACCTCTTTTCTCGTGACTCGCAGCGGCGGTTCGTTTCCTGATTTTCTGCCACTCCCCCGTCACATGATGAGCGGAGCAGTAAAGGCGAAGTCATTGGAAGAAATTATATGTTATGGGAAGAATCACATGAAGCACCAAAAGTCAAAATTTAAAACAAACATTATAACAAGACGACTAATTATGTATATTCCTACACGTTTGAACACTGATAAAAATAAAAATAAATCTAACTCTTTATGCAATTGATATTTTGTATCATTATGGTCAATACTACTACTACTACAAATAACATTAATAATATAAGGGACAGGGCTAATTTCGTGTTCTTTCGAAATGGTCTTGTATATTCATTATGTTTATTCATTATTATTAAATGCAAAGGTTTAATTTAGATAATTTTATGTCCAAATAGCAGCTAAATCCTTCACATAGTTAAAAAATAATTCTTTACCTCTTACTTAATCCCATTGGCCTGACGCTGGTCCATTAGCATCCTCCAGTGCCCTGCTGTTAATGCCCTGTTGTAAATCTAATGTTAGTAATCCACGCCTGAGGGAAGTGCATCAGGCTTTCTCACAATACCATGACCAGTGACAGATATGTCTAAAAAGCAGAAGAAACTGTGAAGAAAATGGGTTACAATAAGAGTTTTAGTATTTAATGTTACAATACTGTTTGCACTCCTTCAATGTGCAAAGGCCGCTGAGGGAAAAACGATGGAATCAAGACATATAACATGTTTTAAATAATCTATGTGTTAAACAGACAGTACTTTTGCACTCTAGTAGTAGTTCTGATGAACTTGTACTGTAATTTAGTATATCTATTATACAAGGTATGGCTATCTATAATATGTAACTTTACTGCAGTAAAATGTCTAAAAATGACTAGACCTATATATTTTGTTGAGTTGTGGATTTACATTAAGCCAAATGTTTCCAGCTGTTTTCACACAGAAAGAAATCCATTATTGTAAACAAGTTAATGGCCCATTTTATTCAGTTGCCTGTCAACAGCATTATGTTCCCTTTGAGCATGTGTCAGCATTGTGGTTGTCTGCCAGAAGTGTTCAAAATTGACTTTTCATTCAGTTTTAAGCCACACTTTTATGATACACTCTTTAGATGTTGTTTGTTTTTAGTTATATATTTTAATCAGATGAAGGATTTTAGTCATCGGACATCTTGGTCTTAATTTATCAGAGAGTAGTAAACGTCATTTCATCATTAATAAAAACCCAATAATACAATGTATAGTTGATAATTTACCACCATAAAAGACTGTCATTCTTTTCTTTTAATAATTTAATATTTTTCAATTACGATGTTGCTACTTTTACTTAAGTAAAGGATCTACAGTGAGGAAATCTTGGAAATCTTGGCTGCAGCAATGTATACAGTCTCAAACCCACACAACTATATAGTGTATTTTATTGGACATGTGCGGTCATGTGTAAGCCCAGCAGGACATAGTGTTTGCACATCAAGTTCAGACTGGTTAACCACACAGAACACAGTTCTTAGAACTCCAATCCCATCTCCTTCTAGTCAGTGTTAGTTTACAGACCAAAACTGATGAAATAAGATATGCTGTATGTTAAGCATCATGCAGAAACAACACCAGCCAGCCCACAAGGGCACTGCAGCATATCAGCTTACATGTCTCAAATCAGTTGACCTTTTGCTTTGTAACCTCAGCATGTGATAAGTCACATGGAACATTTGTTAGTTGTACTCACCCTCACCTGGGTTTTTAGGTCCAAAATTAGGTTCAGGACCTGTGTTATCTGTTGAACTCTTGGGGCCTAAAACTCTGAGTAGACAAACACCACATGGTGATTTCTTAACAGCCTGATGATTTGAGATTTGGCTTGACCTCTGTTCAGCAATAGGATGGATAGTAGCACTTATTCTGTTATCAGTCTACAGAAAAGTTTATGAAGAGTATGTGCTCTGTGATCTATAGGTTCAAATGACCTAATCAGTTCAAAAGAACATAATGTACACTATATAGAGAGGGACGATGAATTAAAGGAAAAAACTGAATAAGTGAGTGGAGAAACATAACAAATGCAGATGCTTGGTGCACTGCAGGGTACAGTTAAGCAGTTAACATCCAGTCATGCTCTGTGGCATGTATAAAAATGCTGATTAGGCCCAGTGGATTCTGATTTTGTATCAAATAGCAAGAGGAAAAGATCTAAGTGACTTTGAAAGAGGTTCATTGTTGGGCAATAGCTTGTCATAAGACTGCTGAACTGGCTCATGTTTAAACAGGAACAGTGACCAAAGTGACATATGCATTTAGATCTATGGGAAAGACCATGATGCTTGTGCATTAGTGCAAAATGTAAAGGAAAACAGAGGAGCAACTCTTCATCAGGAGACTGAGAATGTCAGTGCAGGACATGATCAGACTGCCATGATATTAGAGTAGGGGTGCAGGGCATTGACCCCCCATTTGAAAGATCAATGTACATTTGAGATTTCAGTAGTACCAGATGCAAAAACCAAAAGTGATATGGTCAGATTGAGAACCATGTTCTCAACACGTGGGTGAGTGCATGTGAGATGTACACCAAGAGAACGGTACAGGCCTCAATGCTTGACCCTTACAGTGAGGGGATCTGTTGGCTCTGTCATGCTGTGAGAGGCAGTTTGCTGCCATGGTTTGGGTCCACGTGTCCTCTTAGAGGGAGGAGTCACTGCAAATCAATACAAAGCTGTTCTGAGTGATCACCTTTATCCTATGATGAAACATTTCTGTTCTGATGTGGTCTCTTCCAGGATAACAATGCCTTGATCCATAATGCATGAGGGGTCACTGAATGGTTTGATGAGGATGGAAATGATGTGAATCATATACTATGGCCTTCACAGTCTCCAAATCTCAACCCAGCTGAACAACCATGGGAGATTTTAGAGCAACATGTTAGACAGCACTCTCCACCACCATCATCAAAACACAAAATGAGTGAACTTCTTTTGGAAGAATGGTGTTCATCTCTCCAGTAGAGTTCAGAGACTAGAATTGATGTCAATGAGCACTGAAGCTATTCTGGCAGCACACCTCATTTATTTTAAGGCAAAAAATCTAAACCAAACAGACCAATAATAATACCTTACATTACAGGGACCGTTGTTGTGAGGGACTTTTCTCTTGTCCACCTAGTGAATGACTGACTCAGGGTGAAAGGTCAGTGTAAGGCCCTAGGTCTCTGTGCCACAGCTACTGCATTAAATCTTACAGGCCTTGAAATGCACAGGTGGCTCCTCCAGATGCAACTGTGGTTTGCTGCTGATACTGCTGGTGCCAGGGCTGATAACCACAGACCTTGGATGGTCAGTAACAAGTGGCTGGGTGTTCTAAGAATCGGCATTTGGGCGTATATAGTCATGTTTCCTTGTTTATGGTTAATGAACCAATAGTGTATTCACACATCCCTCTTCTTCCTCTTATTTTAGCATTGACCAATTATGGAGTGTAAGCCATCTATAGTAATCTCTCTAAGTGTATAAAGACGATCCTCAGGGGTTCCTGGTCCAGATTTGAGGTGACATCATGCACAGGAGACTGTATTGATGATTCCTCTTTTCTCCTTGATCATGCATCAATAAACATCCTCAGCATAAGACATCCTGGACTCCAGCGCTCTTTCTTCACCACCGATGATAAGAAATTTCCCTAACAATTGTGAATAAAATTAGAGCCTGGTTCTCAGGCATTAGAAAGTTTAACATCTTCTGTCACTTCTATGCTAACGATTCACAGCTGTACCTCTCACCAAAATCTAGGGATTCCCTTCAACCTCTGATCGACTGTTTCAGTGACATTAAGGGCTGGATTTCAAACAATTTCCTTCAGTTAAACAGCAACAAAACTGAAGTGCTTATATTTGATCCATCTGAGTTGAGAATTTTCTCACAAGCTAAACCACTTCAACCCATATGTGAAGTCATACACAAAAAGACACATTTTTATTCAGTGGCCTTTTTTGCTCACTAACCTTTTTATCACTAACCTTTTTATCTGTCATATTCATAATTCTGTATTTACTCCTTGTTGCTTCTATTTTTTTAGTACACTTATTATATTTCTATATGTAGTATATTTAGTATGTTTTCCTTGTGCTTTTACTTTTTTTATACAATTGTTTTACTTACTTTTATTTTTCTTAATTTCCTTTATACAGCACTTGGTCAGCTCGAGCTGTGTTTAAATATGCTTTAGAAACCAACTTGACTTGAGTTGACGCATACCTTTTCTCCAATAACTCTAATTTTAAACCCAAGTGTGGTATTGATAGACAGTTCAATTTTGATGGCGTTGAATTTGACAAATCTCCATTAAAAATAACTGAATCATGATCAAAGTCCACTTCTTGAGTAAAAAGTGAAGTTATCTTCATTCAGCTTCACTGTGTTGAGTTCTCATTGATTCTTCTTGCATGCTTGTGTGGATATGACCATTTTCAAATATTTGGATAGTATTGCACTCTATGCACGCAAATTTTCTTATCTGCCTGTTGGTGAGGGTCCACTGAACGACATGCCACATAGAGTCATGGGAGTATGTGTGTTTGTTTTGCTTGTGTGGCTCAGAACATCTGAGGATACATAAGCTGTGTCTCTTTGTGACAACCCTCAGTCCAGAGTGTATGCTCTTGATTCCATCCCTCTCTGCAGTCCCAGCTCCTCAGTCATGCTGCGTCCGACGGTCCTCGGCCTCCTCCTCGCATGTGCTGTGTCACTCAGCAGCTCTGCTGTAATCCTGGAAAATGGCATACCTATCCTGTGGGCACAAACAGCCGGCCAAGTGACAGACCTGCCCATCCAGAATGGCATTCTGACTCCTGATCCCTGGCACTTCCTTAACCGCATGAGTCTTTACCGGCTGATGATAGCTGCTACAGACCCATTCATGGGATCCATGGGAACAGGCGCTTCAGAGAGTCCTCTATGGGGACTGCCATTGCAGCTTGGATGGATGTTTACCTCAGGTGAGATGGAAATTATTTGAATCTGTCTATTCATTGTAGCCCCCAAAATGAGTGAACATGACATCATAACACCAGCTACCATAGAATCTAGACACAAATTGATGGCACAATGTAAATTGTTTCTGCAGGCCGTCTGGCTGACCCAACCGGTACTACAACCTGCGGCCATCAAACAGGAGATACTACGTGTATTTCTACTCAGAGTTGGTGGGGCTGTAAGTATGACAAACACATATACACACATAAGCACACAAATACACAAAAGGAAAGAGAGAAAACGCAAAATGTTTCTTTATGTCTGTCCAGGTGTGAACTATTTTGCCTCTGCAATTCCCTTCCTGTCTGCTGCACAGCAAGGCTTCATGGGACCAGAAGTTCAGGTACTTGTGCCACTGGACATCTCAAACAGAAAGTGAGACAGTTTGAATAGATAGAAATAAATAAAGAATAGAATAAATATAAAAGCGGTCCACATGGAGTAATTTTGGCTGCTCATTTTTTATGTTCTCATGCAAATATGAATAGTTATGGTTTTAATTATGGTGAGGATGATTATAACAATAATTGTTATATTATTAGGTCCAGATGCAAGTGCCTGCAGGTGTAGAGGACTATTGCACCACCTATGCTGACTGTGCAACTCGCTACCCTGATGTTATGTCCAAGTGGGATGCCTTTTTCCAGGTATGTGAAATACACACATACACACACATTACTATAGAAGTGTCCACTAGTGTGACACTCTTTCATGCATTTATCTTTTTGAATACACACACATCATGAAAATAAAATACCAGTTTTTAAAGAGGCCCTGATTTAACACATCATGATCAGTCTAATCATGGAGAGCTCCTGCACCTGTCAAAACAGCTGTGTAATGTTGTCTTTTAACAGAAAATCTATTCTGCCCTACAAAGCCAAATGTAGTGACTAATTTTTTTGTCAAACTCTAGTTACAACCAGAATATGACTATTTTGCCACATTATTTTCTTATGCCTAGCTAGGTAGAGTAGCATGGTAAATAGCTTAGCTGAGTAGCAGTAACTACCATCTCTGCTTTTGACTGTAATGGAAATCAGGACTTGTGTGTTCTTAATACATCCATTCTTTAAACCCTGTTTTCTCAACTTTGGATTTAAAAGAAAACGTGAGCATCTAATAGGCAGGGAGGGAATAAAAGTGAGGATATCTCAGTTTATGCTGCTTCTATTTTAATCTATTTCCTTAATCTTCTGTGTGTGTTTAAAGGGTCTCAAGGCTTCAACTGACTCTCCTCTGCCTGACAATGAGAAGAAAGACTCTCTCCTTGGTCTCTACTGGGCGGCCCAAATGGCTTCAGGTCAAGCCTCTGCAGCATGCAACACCAGGTAACCTGTCACCAGGTCTTTCTGTCATACTCCTCTGTTATATTCTTCCAGTCTCTCTCCTTTTATTCTGTCTCTATACTTTTATAAAGCAGGCAAACACTATATTCATAAAGCCCCCAAAAAGACGTTTATTTTGTCAAGTCAAGAGGTCTTCAATTCACACCACCCTGGGGATCTTCGTGTTCTGTTTGAACACAATCTTGCAACCAGCAGCCAGTTAACATAGCTTAGCATAAAGGCCAGAAACATGGTGCACCCTGGTGTCATCTAAAGGTAGCAAAACCTGTATCCAAGAACCTCTAAAGCTCATGAATTAACACGTTATATCCTGGAAATTTAATCTGTACAAAAACAAAAACAAGAGGTTGTGTTTTTACAGGGGGGGTGTGTGCTGAACTATTTCTTGGCCGTTTCACTCACCACAGTCTCTGTTGGTTGCTTGGCAACCTCACAGTGAGAACAACAACAGAGCCAGGCTAGCTATTCCCCTGCCACCAGTGTGAGCTAAGCTAACTGTCTCCTGGCTGTAGCTTCTTATTCAACATACAGATATGAAAATGTTATGAATCCTCTCATCTAGCTCTCAGCAAAAAGTCAGTAAGCACATTTTTCAAAATGTTAAACTGTTTCTTCATCCTCTCTCATCTTGGTCTCCTTCTTATCCTCTCCTCTCCCTCAGGCAGAGTCACTACTCTTCTTCAGAGGTGTCATTTGCTAACAGCTGGCTGAACTCAGCGGAGTATGTATCAGCGGCACACTTCCAGTCCAGTTTGGAAAAATCTGTGATGTTCCTCACCCCACTGCCAGGTCGAATTTTACAGGTATGTTCTTACAACTTAATCCATCCATTCATTTCTAAATCTTTTACAAACTCTATATGTATCTAATTTTTGTCCTTCCTGTTCTATTTGTATGTGTAGGAGGGTGACAGTGCACCTAACATAGCTGATCTGAGTCAGGAGGAGAACCACACACTGTATATCTTCACCTGGATGAAAAACATCAATAGCCTGCTTGGTAGGACGAACACACACACATACACAAATATCATAACTTAGTGTTTTTTATTGAATTAGTGAGCTTTTAAGAATGATCATGATCATGTCATCTACCAGGGGGCTCGCTGGTGCGCCTGTGGAGAAGTGCCATGTGCTCAGTGACCACAAGAGAGAAAGGCAGAGAGATGTTGGAGCAGCTCCTACTGAATCCCAGCTTCGCCACAAACTCTTTCCTGTCCATTGTCACTGGAATGACTACCAGCTGCTGAGTCAGACACCCAAACACACAACAACTCCAGTTATATAATAGTATTCATGTTTTCATCTGACAGTTAAAGATATTAAATAAAATTAATCTGGCTTTCTTTTATAGTAAATAATGCAGGTTTACTATTGTAAAACTCTGAGACAAGACACTGTTAATACAAAGACATAAACCTCTGTATGTATTGCATGTTCTTGTTATGCCCTTGTGAATATGCTTCCCAGTAAACGGTCAACAGTCCATTACTTCTACTGTCATTATTAAACTCTTTCTTGTTACTGCACTTTAATCAGTAATATACTGTATATTACAGCAAGATGGCAAAGACAAGGAAAGTTCACATTCAGGGTTTAAATCTTACAACCTTAATAGAGTAGGGTCTTTCTATTTATCTTAGGACAACTACAGTACATCACAATGTGTGGGCAGTGAAGGAGTGTTATTAAGTACACCTATTCAAGTACTGTAAATTTTAGGTATTTATACTTTACTTGAGTATTTACATTCTCTGCTCCTATATTTTTATTCAACTACATTTCAAAGACAACTATTGTACTTTTTAAACCACTATATTTCTGAAAGGTATAGTTATAGTTACTTTGCTAATTCACAAATACATAGACAAATCGATAGACAATATGAGTGATTTATTATTAAAATATAATCTATTGTTACACATTAAACTACTTAACAGTATCGGTCCACCTCAACAAACTACTAGATTGAAATTATTACACACGCATGCTTCACTAAAAACGATCCAATTATATGATCAATATAATAATATTCTGACAGAGGCTTACTTACTTTTGACACTTTAAATACCTTTTGCAGATACTCCTTATGTACTTTTTTTCAAGTAAGATTTTAAATGCAGGAATTTCACTTGTGAAGGAATATTTTACACTTTAGTATCCTGGATTTTACTTCGGTAAACGATCTGAATACCTCTCCCATCACTGGCAGATGGAAGGTTAGATTGTTGCTGTCACTACAGCTCTCTGTTTTAAAATTTGACAAAGGCCATAATGTGTGAAATTTGTGTTTCATGGCTGTTAAGATGACCAGTCTATAAACTGCACAGTAAAATCTATCGATTCACATGAAAGCATGCAGTATGTGATCTGGAGCTGGCCAGTCCAGTATTGCTCCCTAGTGGTGATATGATGTAAATACTAACCTATCTTGTATTTTTTCTGAGAATGGTAGGTAGTGTTTTATATTTGAAATAACACTCACAATAAACATTTTTTGTCATAAGGTTTGGATCCACTGCCTTAGTTAAACAGTGCTACATACATTAATAAAGGAAAAGACAGTCACATTCTTGTGACAAGTTTATTCTGTGTCCCTGTTGTAGATACTGGAGTGAGCATCCATTCACAAAGCTCTTACCAGCCGGAGAGAATATGGGGAAATGATGGCTAATCCACCCATTCAGTTACAACTGATTCATATCAAACACAGCCATCTTGGCCAGAGCCATACAGACTCTCAATGTCTTTTCAAACTTTGTATATATAACCTCAGGGTTTCCTGTTGATGGATTATTGAAAATGAATAGACGCATTTTAAAGAGTATTTCTATAGTTTTTTTTTTTTTTTTTTTAAAGGGAAACCAGTTATCTGAAGATAACTGGGAAACCTCTAGTTCATGGTTGGTGCGTGAGGAAACAAATTATGGAAAAGTCTTTATTTCAACACAAAACATAACATTTACTTTAACAAAATACAACACACAATTTGAATCACTGTAAGTGATAGCATCAAATGAGAATGACATCCAAGACATTTTCAAAAGGAAGACACAAAAGGGTCATTATACCCACCAATGGAAATGCACAATAAAAAAACCCTCTGTATGTTATAAACATCATATATCTATGCTAGCTCATGATTGTCGGTGGAAAAGCAAAATCAAGTACAAATTCACAATAACAAAACACAAATGCAGAACGTGATATCCTGTCAAGGCTTGCACACTGTGTATTTTAAGGACAATTTTCTTTTTTTTTCTTTTTAGAGCTTATTCCTATTCATGATCAACCATGTTTTAGAGAGCATTAAATTAGTGCTGCCAGATTTTGCTTAGAAACATATATCGCATTGATGGGATTTGAAGATTTTAGTACTCAATTTTACATGACACCAATTAAACATATCGCTCACACGGTGAAACAAATACAGAATATCCAGAATTAATCTGTTTATAACTGCTTTAAAAAACTTCAAATATTCTTACATAGCCTAAGCTGTGCCAACTTCCAGACAGGACACACCAGTAAATACTGGACATGGATAGCTTGTTCAAACAAGTGATGAATGGAGATATGATAATACCCATGTTGCACTGGTTAATTTACAGCAGTGGTTCCCAAACTCGGTGTTGGGGTCCTCTGGAGGGGTGCGGAGGTATTGCAGGGGTGAACATTGCCCAGGGGTAAACTGTAGAGTGCAACCATAAAAGCTGAAAAGATTTTTTTCACAGCAGATAGTTTGACCTGCCCAACACAGGTGTAACTAATGGCAACATTAATTAGACATTGGTTTAACCCCCTCCCTGAGCAAAGCTGTCAAACCTTGTATTTCTCCACATGCTGGAGCAGTGTGCATGGTAGGCTACACTAGCAGTACTCAGTTTATAAAGAATCTGGAGAAGTGTCTTTTTTAAACCTCAGTAAAAGCTAAACCACGTCAGATTGTAAGAAATGGATTAAATAGTATGTCCTCCAGCTCTACTGTAAACTGCAAAAGTTAGCATGCACGGCTACCTAGCAGTTGTAGTCCGGAGTTACTTTCTACCCTCCAGGCCACATTGTTATGTGGGGTTACAAAAATCCCAGTTTACGACTGGAACATCCACTCAGAGGTAGCAAAGATCAGAGTCTGGAATAACATTAACATCTGTGCAATGGTACCATGGCTAACTCTACCTTGCAAAACAACAATGTTGCTCCTCATTTCCATTGTCTGTCAATGGGTGAAAATTCTGACTCTTTGCCTGTAACTTATAGTTTTAGCTTCAGTTTTAGCCTTAGCTGTATTGCGTACACAGCCACCACACTTTTTAAAGGATTGTTGTTTAAAATTCGTCTGGTGGAAACATTAGAAGATAAGCTGGAGATGGGGACTTTTTTCACACAACTCATGGAATCAAGGTTAATTAGCTAGCTAGCTAGCTAGAGCTTATAAAATCTGCTAGCTAGAGTTATTGTTTCAGCTGACAAAAATGAGATGCCTGTTTGTGTTGACTTCTGTGTGAAGGGTAAATAAATAAACTGCTTTGCAGTAATTGCTTGAATTGAGCCATTGTTAATGTTATAAGTTTCACCTGTGCATTTCTGACAAGTCAAACTATCTTCATTTGAATACCAGAAACTAATGAGAAAATGCAAGAAAATGTAGTTCATTTTCACATCTAATGTTATTTCAATATATTTCAGCTTGGCTTTTTGTTGCTGCCCCGGTATTGATACCAGATGATTAAAATGCTACTAAGAAACTAAGCTTTTTGGCTTCCCTAAAGGTGCAAGACAGTAAAAGTCTGGGAACCACTGATTTACAGTAACAATTATCTCCATGACAGTAACATTGGATCATTATCAACAATGCATAAATAAATGTTTAATTCTATGTAAAGACATGTTAAATAATTGTGTTAAGTGTCACACTGAGCACCATGTTATCCTAGTAACTGCAAGGATACAGAAAACAGACGTGGATTAAAAATGTCAACACGCTCCAAAAGGAATGATAGTCAAGGCTATTTTATTGCCCCATTTCCTCTTAGCACTGGATATAAATTTCACCAAGCTTGACAAATACTGTGAAAAATGACATAACTAACACTGAGTCTGTCCAGATATAAAATAGGAATGTCACTGTAAAGTTTAAACACAAGACAGGAGTAGAGCTGGAAGGAGAAATTTAAACAAACATCAGTCAAACCCACTCAGGTTCCCCCGCTGTAGAGCAAGGGAAGCAACGAAACTCTGGGAGAAACCTCTTCAAAATCATACTCAAATTTAAATCAGGGGGAAAACACCCAGAGATTTCAGATGTTTGGTTTAAAATGAACATGTACTTTACATACACGTACTACACAGTATTGGCCTTTTTCATTTTTGCTTTGGATTTTTGCCGTCTGCTGAGTGGTGAGGTAGAGAAGTGACTGAATGGCAGACCTGCTGTTCACTGACCTATGGTTGAGATTGCATGTTGATGGCATTTGCAGCTGGAGTGTTGCTTGGCTATATGAGAGGTAGAGTATCTCTGCGCCTCACACAGGAAACTGCCCTGTGCCTGCTAATGCACTGGAGTGTGTGTGTATGAGAGAGAGAGAGAGAGAGAGAGAGAGAGAGAGAGAGAGAGAGTGAGAGAGAAAGTGTGTTTGAATCTGTGTGTGTGTTTGATTCTATATGAGATAAAGCTTTTGCTAATTTGTGGACATGTCAAACAGTTATATGCGTATCTACAAATATATATATTGTGTGTATTTGAGAGGAATGTCCAGGACATTATTAAGCTTCTCCATAGGCTGAGGCCTTGTCCTTTAACAGGTCCAGACACAAGTGACAGCTCCAGCTCCCTGTGGAGAGAAGAGAGACAGAGAGAGGCTGAAATCTTTGTCCTGCTTGCTCTTTTCCATATATAGTCTTTGCTTGTATCCTCTCCAGTCTATAGCTCATGACATATATAGTACTAGCCCACTGATGTAAAACCTGTGAGAGTGGCTCTCAGTGTTGTACCTTCCGGAGGCTGGGTCATTGCAGGCTTCAGGCAGTACATGTGGTATCCTCTGTCACAGTCATCACAGAACAGCAGCTGGTCCTACACGGGCAGCACACAATCAACATCTTAAATATTGTATGAAATGTCTACTGGGGGAACATAAATAGATATAAACCCCACTGTGAATTTTTAAAAAGCCGCAAAGAGGCCAAATTCTCTGTCAAAAAATGTAGAAACTATCCTGTAGACACACACTATGTCAGACATGAACAACAAAAGCATTTTTTATGTATTTATTAGCATGCAACCTAATATTATCCAACCATGTGTTATTTCTCTGTAAAGTAATCTGCTCTTTATTGTTAAAAAATGGAGCTATACAAACTTTAATACATGTGGCTGCCTTCTGGAGTTATGATAATAAATGATAATACAGCTTTTACTAATATATTATTGTGTCAGTCACTGAGTTACGATTTTTATAAACCTGGAATGAAAGAGAAAACCTTTTTGCATCATGGATAATTCATCAAGTATATACAGTACATATCTGCCTGGCATAAATTCAATGTAATTTATTGCCTATGAAAGGCTGAACACCAGCTGTGGAAAGGTCCTGGCATTGAAAGAAAAACATGTCAACTTTAATGCAGTTCAAAGCAAACTCAAAAGGAAATCTAGTAATAACATTTGAGCAAGGACATTTCATACAAGCCTTCCCTCTTCCACAGTATTCAGTATACATACATCGTTCTCTGAGGTTCCACAGAGACTGCAAGACTTGCACTCGATGCACTGCCACTGGTACGTCCTCACCGCCTGCATCATGTTCTCAGTGAACTGCAGGCATGTGGGGTGACCTGTGAAGGAACGGAGAGGAGACACGAGAGAAGTGAAGAGGGAAGGGAGTGAGGAAAGAGTGGATAGCCAGAAGTATTTACAAAGCAAAGTCAGTAGTGTTTTCTTATATAATAGTTTACTTGTGGCAGGAGCTTTGACTTGACTAACAAATCGAAACATATTTACATCAACCATCAAAAGCTGATTTACATCATCTGCAGCTGTATCTGTTTGTCCCGGTACTGCCTCCAGGCTTTCAGGTACACTGATGATGCATTTTCTATATTTATGAAAAAATGAATGAAGACTATTGCCACTATCCACCAAGAGTTTGTAATTTGTTATGTTTTAATTTAAAGTCTGTATTGGTCTTCTTAATATTCTTCTAAGGAAAATCCTTTTTGCTTAGGTTGTTGGATACAGTGTTTTTCCCTGGTTGTCAAGTGTAGAAAACAATATTTCTCCCTTCATTCAGAAAATACGCTAAGATTATTTTTACAAGAGCCCGCAGTTCGTGTTAACTGTGTCTGTGATTCAGACAAGTGTAATTGCACAGTGTTGACAGCCCATACCACTGGATGAAATTTAGCATCAAAGGCAATCAAGCCACAAAAGACTGATTATACTGTTTGTCTGGGAAAACAAAGCACAAGCAGTGATGTGTGTGCAGGAAAACACTGCAAAGTATTTTATCATCTTCCCTTGAATCTACAGCTGTGACAACATATAAAGAACAATATTTGGTATATGCTAAATTATCTTCTTGTCCCTTGTCTTAAGAACAAACATTTTATAGCTACTGCCATTGTCTTTTATAGCCTCCATACAGCCTAACAGTGCTGTCAGCATCTTTTTAGCACGGTTATCTACATCACCCTGGTGTCAATGGGGTATCAATGAGCCATGAATGAGCCATAAACAAGGATGAATTGATTTATAGCTAGACAGGGAAAGCAGCCAGAAACATTGAACACATTCCCTATCGGCCTCTGATGGGTGAGTAAAGACAAACGTGACCTGAGCAGAATTTAAAGCAGATAGGTTTAAGATGCTGCCTGCCTCCCAAATGAAACGGAGGAATTACAGTTGGGAAGAAATAGATTAACAGATTAATAGATGGGGGCCTGTCAGCTTAAAATGATAGCACTTAGCAGCAGGCATTAGAAAAAGCGTTTCTACTCAGCATCTATTGTCAAAAGAAAGAATCTAGTCCTTAAAGACAGAGAGGAGCAATGGAGTGCCAATTGGCTCTTACCTCTCGACTACCTGTCCTCTTTAGCCAATGGAGTGACTCAAAAGTCCACGTTCATCCCTCCCCCTGCCACAATTTACTCCATTTTCTCTGGTCCACCATGTCTGCTATTAATCTTTTCAGTCCAAAATTAATTAGGATGTAGCCATGAAGTTTAGCCTATGATCTTGATTATCTGATGCAAGCAAAGTCGAGTGTAAGGAATTTGCTTTTGTTTTATGAAAATTGGAAAATGTCTTAACAGCAAAATCCATATGAGCAAAAAAAAAAAAAAAAAAAAAAAAAAAAAAAAAAAAAGCCATCGTATCCATCATTTTCAAGAAGAAGCTGGCTTCATGTGTAAATAAAAGAGTTCAGAATAATCCAGTGACTTTTCAGGTAGAGGCATCTTCAAGGTGAGCCACTGTAGTCCAGTCTGTGCCTTCAGCCTTCAGATTTTTATTGCCACACGGTCCAACTAGTCAAGCCATCGTGTTATCAGCTGTCAGCCACAGCATCATCATCGTCTGACAACAAAATGTCTTCCAGCTCTGCTTCTTCAAAGCCTTGAAACGTGGAGGCCTCGCTGTCTGAAGTGTTGCTGAACAATTCTTCGAGAGCACTCATCTTCCTCCCATCCTTCTTCACTCCTCCTCTTCCAGCTACCATGGAAACATCAGCATCAGAGCAACACAGACAAGGCCACACACTCTGCCAGCTGTTCTAACAAACTCTACCGTAGCAAGAAAACATCTCACTTGCTGAAATGAATACCCTACTCTCGGTTGAGCTGATTCGACAAATGTTTTGCTGAGATATCCAGCAGATGCGGCTTTGGCTAGTGTGGGGAAAAAAAGGGGGGAAAGAAACAAAAAATGCAGCCAAATGTGCCATAAGATAATGCATGAAAACTGAGCAACAAAAGAGTGAAGGCATGTCGTCAAAAGGCAGAAGACCTGATGGACGAGGCTGACATGGAGAAGCATGCAGGATGGAAGCAAGCAGCCGAGCCTATGAATCAATATTATTCTAAATGGAAAATGAAAGTTTCAGGAGTTGGCTCTCAATTATCATCGTCTACAAGGCTCATTGATAACCCATTGAAAAGACACTGTAGCAACATGAAAGCTCAATGCACTGCACAACATAAATGTCTAATGAATTCTACATCATCAACTGAAAACACAAGCTGGTCTGACCAAATGATTTGAAACGAATATTATAAGACTGTATTTTAGTTAACTAGAATGAACTGTATGAACATTAATGTAAATGCTAAAGGCCCAGCTAGACTTTGTAATAATTGTATATTCCAAAATATATTACCCAGAGATATTAAGTAATTATTAATCCACATCTATATTTGATGCAGAGTCTTAAACTGCATCAGATATGCACCATTTTAGTCCATGTAGCAAAGATAAACATCGCAAGGAAGCGAGGAATACACATGAACAAGATTGTGGATAAAAAGGAAGTACAGGGAAACAAAAATGAGATGTGCAGTACACAAATTAAAGCATGAGTCTAGCAGGCAGCTAACTTCTTAAAATCTTTTTTATTTTGTAAAGAAGTAATGTGACATTTTGGTAAATATGGTTACTTCCTTTCCTGACGTGAAATGAAAAGACTGATGTCACTTTAATGTTGGTATGCTAAATATGAAGCTAAAGCCAGGTGAGAGTTAGCTTAGCTTATCTTAGCCTGACTTAAATACTGGGAACAAGTGAAAACAGCCAGCGTAGCTCTGTTCGTAGGTAATAAAATCTTCCTACCCACACTGCTGAAGCTCACTAATTAACTAATTAATTTTATCTCTTTTTTATAATTAAGGCAAAACTTATCATAACATCAAAATATATAATTAGTGAGCTTTGGAGATGCTGCTAGGCAGATTTTGTTACCTTGAGATGAAGCCATGCTAACTGTTTCCTCAAACTAGCTAAGATAAACTTTGCTAACCTGCCACGCACAGCCATGAGAGTGGTATCAGCCTTTTCATGTAACAAGAAAGCAAATAAGAGTATATATCAATAAGTTGAGCTACTACTTTAATAAGAGTGGTCCTCTCTAAAGTCACTCACATGAGATTCTTTTAAATCCCCTAATTTGACTGGCAGGAAAACAAAACTATTAATATAGGTATAAATGCTGACGTCAACAAAGAACCAGAAGTTTCAATGGAAAAAGTTGTTGAGGTTGTGGACTCACCAGAGCGTCCACAGTCAGAGCAGGACACCAGCTCCTCGGCCTGGCCTGTCTTCCTGTTGGAGTCCTGGTCTCCCAGGCAGAAGTCACAGTAGTCGTTGGGGATAACGGCGCCATCGGGGCCCTTCTGAGCTGTGGGCAGGAACAAACACAAGACAGTATACATGAGCTGCCATTTGTTTTCTGACAGCACTGTGTTGCTGTCAGGGAAGTATTAGGGCATTTAATTTAGCATTTACAGAGAATGTCTTACGTCTATGTAGCATCTTACGTTTGTGGTTGTCCGAGCTCTGTGGAGGAGATGGAGCCATCTCTGTTTCTTTCTCCTCCTCACCCTCCTCCTCTGCCAGGTGAGTGTGGGTGTAGTGGTAGCTTAGGCCAGGCCGGTTCTTGTAGCGCTTTCCACATACTAGAGATAAAACATCATCATACATCGATTAGAAACTTGGAAAACTTTGTGCAAATAGTGGACTAAAGAGTCTGCTCAAAACTGTCTCAACTGAACTCAACTGTCATCCCTGCCTAAAGAAAAAGTAACAGATTTAATGCAAGATGTCAAAGAAAATTTGCAGATGCTTCAACTCGCTGTCAGTATTCATGTTTGAGGGTCTGACGTCTACAAAAGACACATATACAGTAGAAAGACAGTTTCACTTGACTGTCCCAATGCATCTACCCCAAGCTGCTACATACCCTATTCAGCTATAGTGACAAGATGGGGTTACTTTTTCCCCAGCTGTAAACATGTGACATGGCTTGGGGGAAAAAGTAAGGTGCATCACTAACTAATGTCACCAATGCAGACAAACATGGACACAGAAAATGTTAGCAATATAGCTTAACTACAACACGGGTAGGACAGACATGAACAAAAACTGAAGACCACTGGGAGCAGGGACCAGATGATACCTATGGCACAACAAAATTTGAAAAGTCTGATAACTTTAGAGAAGCTATTCAGTAACAAGACACAGTAAAGTGTACTAGAAGTATCAGCCTACAACTCTGGTAGCCAACAGAGACTCTTTTGGGAGGGTTTAGCTTAAATCTATCCTGTTGTTACTGTGCTGTGACACCATCACTTAACATGTAAGTATCATTTATATAAAAAGAAAGCAAACACGTAGTGCACTAAAGCTACACTGCACAGACATATATCTAGTCTAACGTTGTACTATTTTGGAATAATTGAGGACTTTTCACAGATAGAGCTGTAGCCATCATAGAAGTTTCTCATTATGTATCTAGTGCATTATAGTAGTGCTACAGTTTTGCTACCTCTGTTGGTGTGACCAAATAACACAAAGTTGGGAAGCTACCCATTCCTTTATAAATGAACTTTTATAGCCCCTGCCACCCCATGTTTAAAAACTATGACAATGATCCTCACAGTGTAAACACTTCTACAATGGCTACATCTATGAATCACATCACAGCTATAGAGTGACCTAAGAAACATGCGTCGCTCAGTGCGGCATTAGCTGAGCTGCTGCTAAAGCATCATTTGGCGCATGCCAATCAGCAAGCATTAAGGCACATTGAGTAGCGTTAGTGTCATGCAATGCTTGCACTGCAGGTAGGGATGCCTGTACTAGCATAAAGCATTTAAAAGAAGTAGATATCTCCAAAGGATTAGCATTCAATCAGCCATTCCAACACCAGATGCCCATGAGCAAAAAGGCCAATCATAAAGACAGTTCATGGAGCCCCTAGAAAGACAAGATGGCGACAGGTTCAGATACCTTCTTCAGCCTTTTTTGAGTTATGCTTTTGTTTGTATCTATCTGGAACAGAGAAGACACAAAAGCAAACGATAAAGGAAAGACAGAACAAGACACAAAATGAGGATGAGATTCATCTGTTTGAAGCCCAGTCAGTGTGGCTATCTCTGTCCACATCCACATGGCAATCCATTCCTGGGGGGGGGGGGTTTGTCCAAGTACGTAAGTGGCATGCTAGTCAGGTCTGGATTAACAGCAAACTCTTTCTTCATGCTGCAGTGGACTGCTCTTAGAAACAGAAGAGGAGAGGGCTACCATTGGAAGATGAGAGAAAATGACTTGTCTGATAGATTTATCTCTGCTTTCTAAACAATTTAAAGCAGGCATGTAGAGAAAGGTTTCCTGACATAAATGCATCATGAAGAAATTAACTTACAGTAAGTCAAAGAAAAGTCTTTTGTAATAGCCACATCTAAGGAAAAAAGAGTTCCTCGACTGCCTTGAGCTTTGAGGGACATTGTGATTCCCAAATTTTGATTAACATGTAAAGAACAAACTAATGACCTGATCACAAAAATGGCACATGAGGTACACAGAATCAAGCTTTCTCCTCTCTTACTGTCACAGACGTAAGGTTTGTCCTGGTCGTCGATGTTAACAGGTTCTGTCCTCCTGCGACTTCCTCTGTTCTGAAAGGAAACACAACACACATCTGATGTTTAATCCTCCAATACATAAATATTCCAACACAAATTCAGAATATATAAAAACACTCACTTTGAGCATGTTAGCATGCTGATGTTATCTGGCTAAAAGAACTGCTATTGTGGCTGTTAACTCTTGCTATAAAAGGGGTTTTGTGTTAATGAAACTGCGTTAGTTATTATTCTCTTTTTACACCACACTCATTTAAAATCTGTTTTTGTTTTTGACACTCACTTTGCCTCTGTTTCTGTTCTTTCTCTTTGGAGTATCCAGTTCAAAGTCCTCATCATCATGGAAACCGTCCCCATTTTCTTCCGCCTCCAGTACTCTCTGCAGTATGAGCACACACACACACACACACACACACACACACACACACACACACACACACACACACACACACACACACACACACACACACACAAGTTGACTTCATTTCTAACTGAACAGGGATATTAGCTTTGCATCTACTAAAAACAGGACACTGAGCATAATATCATGATGTCTGATACACAACAAACACATAACAAAATACCTGTATTTCCAGCAACGTCTCCTCTTCCTTATTGAAGCTGTTTTTTTTCTCCAGCAGGCTGTCCCCCCTCAGGAGGGCCTCCAAGGCTGTAGCCTCCCCTGGGGGCACCTCACGCTTGGGGGCCAGCTCGGCTTCTAAGGAGGACGTGGCAGAGGAGAATAAGTAAAGTGTACTTGAGATGGCACCGCGTGTGTGTGCGTGTCTCAGGCAGTAAAAATGTGCATGTGCATTCAAATTTACTGATATTTATTTTCTAATAACACAAAACCTTTATATATATATCACTTCCTCTACGGGCCACTTCTGCAGGCCACTTAAGTAACCACCTTTATGTCAAATCACATGATCAAAATTTTAAAGAAAGCACTTTCAAAAAGCTCAGTTTTGGGTCACCAGCATGCGTAGATGGAAAGGCAAAGCAGAGAAAATGTATCAGCATCAGTGTGGTCATGGTGTAGGTGTAATAAAGGAAGTTTTAGAAACAGTGGTCAGGGCAGACTGCCAGATTCACCATCTATATAAATAAAACTAAGGTGCACCAGGTGCATGGTAAGAACGGAAATAATGAACCACAAATAAATATAAAAAAAACACTGCTTGTAAGCCTAAATTATATCTGACTCTGCCTTTTTCCCTCTTCCAAACTGCTTTATGTTTCTTCCTCTCCTTCTTTTCATTTCCGTAGAGATGAACTTGCTGCAGCATTGACTCTCTGTCCTCGTCTTTGAAGTATAATACCAGGATAAATACAGAATGAAAGTAGGGATGTGATAAGAGAGGCAGGGAGTGAGCTGGGCTACCGAGGCTATAAGGCACTCTTATTGAATACAGAGCTGCTCTGCCACTTTGTCTCCTCTTCTCCGTCCTCCTCCTCTACAGTATACGCCTCCTCCTTCGCCTCTGTTGTCTGCTGACACCCTCCCTTCTTTTATATACTAAATCCCTCTTTCCTTTGCTTTCCTCTCTCCCATTTTTCTTTTTGCCTTCACCCATCCTCTTTCTGTTTTATAACCCTCTCACCTCTCCTTTGACTCTTTGGGGCAAACAGGGAGAGAATAAGTGAGGCTGAATGTTGTGCTCTGCCAGCAAAAAGCAAAAAAGCATCCTCCGCTCTAGCCACACATTAACAACACTCTTACACACACGATTCAATCATATTTATCTTAATTTCCTCTTCAGCTAAATGCCAATAGACTAGCACCATCCTAACGTAACAAAAATGTATATAAACAGCCTCAGTGTCATCCACCCTCATGCATTTGCACCTTTTTGAAACTCTCAACAGATTAAACAAGGAGTTTATACTGAGGAAAGCAAAATGGCTGCTGAGGCACAGCCCCTGACTTGAGCTGTCACATGCAAAAGTAAAAGCAGAGGATTCACAAAAACAAGGAATTAAATTCTTGTTTCAAACTCTTTCAAAGTAACCTTGCGACAGAGCCTCTGTGTATCTGCACACACACTGACAAACCTCTGCTCAGGAAGCATTAAATAAACATAAAGCATTTCCAAAAGCCCGGGAGAGGAGCACTCACATTCCTCTGTCGTGTTATGATAGATATCTGGACCAAACTGCAGAATTGGATCTCAGAAAAACAAAACTGTAGACTTCTACTCTTTCACCCTCAGCTACAAAGGCTTTATATCTCTAGCTTTCTCTTTCTTTATGTGCTTTGGTTGATGGTTGGTTGCAGCTCTGGAGAGTTTCTCTTTTTTTTTTCCTGAAAATGACTCTGTCCTCTGCTCAAAGCTGAATCGTTCTCTGTGGAAAGCTCTGGAGTATTATATTGCGTCTGGAAGACAGCGAGGGGGAAACAATGGTGTGGCAAAGCAGAAACAAAGACCTGCCTTTATTTCTCCCCCTTATCAGGTTCCTGGGCCCATTCCTTTACTAAAATCCCCTATAATATACACACACATGCATGCATGTATGCACACACACACACACACACACACACACACACACACACACACACACACACACACACACACACACACACACTTCCACCTCATAAGACTCACTTACATTCTAATGCCTCATGGACAAATGATTATAGAGGCCCAGTTAGGGTGCTTCTGTGCTGTAACAGAGCAAGAGTCATGTGTGGGGGTGTTTGTGTGCTCATGTATGCGTGCGTGTGTGTGTATGTGTGTGTGTGTGTGTGTGTGTCTACTGCCAGAGAACAGTGAGAGGAGGCATTGATTCAGGGGAGAGAATGAACCTGGAGACCTGGCGAGAGCAGCGGGCTAACGAGAGCCAGATGGTCAGATAGTGAGCATTAACGCCACTCTGCTCTGTGCAGCTACATAAGAGCACCAAGGCCACAAACATAACATGATGTAGACGCGAGTGTAAGTGAAGGTAGTTTGAACACAAAAATGAGAGTGCCAATGGTGATGTGTGTGTGTGTGTGTGTGTGTGTGTGTGTGTGTGTGTGTGTGTGTGTGTGTGTGTGTGTGTGTGTGTGTGTGTGTGTGCGCGTGCGCCCGCGTGTGTTGTTTGTCTTACCTAGTCGAAGCTCACACAGGCGGAGCTGGGGATCCAGAGGAGGGTGGAGTCGCCTCTTCTTTCTCCAGCAACGAGCAGGGTAGGTATACATCTGTCCTGCGGCCTGGCCTGCACACACACACACACACACACACACACACACACACACACACACACACACACACATGAATGAATATATAGTATATGTACACACATGCAGACACGGAGGCACACAGGAAGAATTTTAACAACCATTGGCGGGCTTACTATTTTAACACAACCTGCACCAAGACCCTTCCACACACACACACACACAACCACACACACACACACACACACACACACACAATACACAAAATGGACTTGTCTTGTTTTCCTGATGTTTAATATGTCCTGATTTCAGTGCTCAGCATGATGGTCCACAGAAAATTTGCGTAGTTCATCTTACTTAATGTTGATTAAACTTAATGTATAGAATGGTTATATTCAGTTTCACTCCAAATAAGTATTTAAATAATATTGCTTTGTCACTTTTTCAGCAAAGCAGGCTTCTTGTACTTTAATTGAATATGTTGATCTCTGCCCTTGTGTTCTAATCGTATCCCTCCATTAGCTTAGCAGACGACAGAAATGGGGGGAGCAAAGGTTTTTTTTTTTATGTGTGCGTGTGTAGAGAAAAAAAAATCAAGAGAAAGCAGGGGGGAGGGATAAACCCAGAATAAATGCATATAATGTGAGCTAGGTCTGCCACAAAGTATAGGGTGTGGCCTGAAGGGCTTTGCATACAAGACGGAGAGCAGGCTATTTGTGTCCAGCTCTCGGTGAAGAGCAGATTGTTGCCTCTGGCTGTACAGGCGACCCAGATGTGAAGAATGCATGCTGACTGCGCGTCTCAGGATAAAACAGCAAGTAGCATAAGTAATATAAGCCTAAATAAATATACAAGACAGGTTGATTCGTTTTTTTTTATTGAGGGAGGAGGTCTGTAAATCCATCCTTTCAGTCATTAATATTTATACATTTTTTTGTTTATTCGCTCTCTTGCTGAGAGACAGATGAGAAGATTGATGCCGCTCTCATGTGTGTGCATCCAATCTAAGGTAAGAGCCAGCAGCTAGTTAGCTTAGTGTTGGAGGAAAAAAAGGTCCAGGTCCAGGCTAGAGAGTCAGTCTAGATCTCTTCACCAACACCTAACTTTCTGCAACACTGCACTTTTACTGGAGTCAAAAAGATTAAAAAAAAAAGTCACTGGAGATGATCAGAGTCCAACACAATAGAATTTATTCTTTCACAAGAACAAAAGCGAGAACAGATCCGGATCAGAACTAAGGACAGAGTGCCTATACTCAATCATATATATTTCTTTTCTTAGGTGGATTCTCCACCTATTTTAAGTCAACCTATCGCCGTCTCGGGAACAATGGTGTCCAGCCCCCTGTGGAATTCCCCAAACCAGGCCTGCCTGTAGCGTAGCAGGACCAGGTGTCCAGAAGCCTCTCGTCTACCCCAACTAAGGCTCCTGTGCCAGGGCATCGTAGTACAATCAGGCATCCAAGAGCCCCTCGTCTACCCTAAACCTAAGGCCCTCGTCTATCCTCAATCTGGGCCTCGCTACAGCTGCTACTCCAACACCATTGCTCCCAGGGCCTTCAGACCATTTTGTTTTTACTTTATTCCCTCCAGGTTCCATTCTATAACAATCCTACTTCAGTAAAGGCTGGTTCACATACAAATCTCACCTCAGTTGTGAGTATAGCTATTCCATTGGATTATATAAGTTTAACATTCAGTATATTTATAATGCAAAGTATATTTTAGTGAAAAATTACTACAGCATTAGCTTAGCATAAGGAGTGGAAGCAGGGGGCAGCAGCTAGCCTCATTCTGTGTGAAGGTTAAAAACTCTGCCTCTTAAGTTCACTAATTCACAAGTTAGGTTTTGCAGTGACTTCTTGGACTCTAAACTGGTTGCCTGGCAGTAAGAGTGACAAAAAGACTCCTGGAATTTACTAGAAATAGTTTGGCACATAACACAAAAGTAGGAGTGGAACCTTTTTTCTTTTTTTTTCCAGCCCTTGTGGTGTTTCTCACCTGGCTGGCGATGGCGCTTTTCCATCCAGATGTAGCAGTTGTTCTGTGCCACGCCGGTTTGCGAGTCCAGGAAGGGCATGCGCACGCTGCGCTCGGCACAGAGACGGGCATTGTAGCTGCGACAGTGTTCGATGGCCTCCTTGTAGAACTGGTCACCCAGCCTGAACACAGACAGAGAAACAGGTAGACAGAAAGATCACTTGTGATGCATTTAATTCATTTACTTCTACAACAACTGTCCCATTCATTCAACATCTGAAGTAGATTGAAAAAATATTTCTTTGTGGAACACAAGTTACCCGCAACTAACATTATAGTCTTATTTTTGCTGTTAGTCTAAGCTATCTGCAGCATGCTGCTTCGATTTCTGCTCTCTGTTCTCTGAGTCATTCCTGCTGTTGAAGTCCTATCGGCTGAATGTTTTTTTGGATAGTTAATGGTAATACCATGTGCTGGGCGGATGATGAGCTGATATGGTCTGCAAATCAAGTATGAGCGGGCCTGTTCAGTCCTGGTTAACTGTAGCTTAATAAACACACCCAGACATCTCTCCACAGTTTGACTTAGTGTGTTGTGTAAACTCTGGATTCAGTGCAAACATCAGATGCAGCATGACGACAGCCGAGCTGAAGAGGAACATCTACACAGGTGGGGAACAATAGGGGTGGTGAAGGCGCACACATACAGAAAAAAAAAAAAAACGATGATGAACCATAAGAGATGAGGAAATGTTTTCATCCTGTCAAACTGATAGATGAGTCAGAGGGCTGGATCGAAGTCCACACGAAGTCCACACAACAGCTGGGCTAAACACAGGTGCACACTCACACTCACACTCACACTCACACTCACACTCACACACACACACACTCACACACACACACACACACACACTATCGACCAACCAGAGGGTATAGATCAGGATGGGAGCCATCAATAACGTACCACGGTCTCAGTCTTAAGGCAAGATTTCTGCAGCTACGATCATTAGAAACAGACAGAATAAACCAAGATTAACTCACTTTCGCCACAGATGAAAAATCCACCTTGAGTAGGTTATTCTTTATTTAATTACAGAGCTGAAATCCAGAGAGGAGGCTAGAGGAAAGACAGGGTTCGATCTTTAGGAGCACACATGGCTCAGTTTCTAAAGCAGTGCACTGAAATAGTCAACCATCTTTGAGCACAGTTTACTGTTTAGTTAATATGACATAAAGGAGAATTTGATGTCAGTATCTTGGATCTGACTCTGGGTCTTTCACTTGGATCTCTTGCTCTTGGGGCTATACTCAAGATCTTGTCTGTCTCTCTGCGTATGTGCACACATGTCTATCTGCCTGCCCGTCATCCTGTCTCTCTGACTGTCCGAGCAGACATGGGAGCTCTGTGGATTCTCTACACAGATATGTAAAGAATGCCAAGCTGGACAAAGACCAGCACTCTGGTCACACTGAATCTCACAAAGATGTGCAGTGTTTGGAAGAGGTGGGAGCGGAGGGTGGATGGAGGAGGAAAAGAACCGAGAGGGGGTGGAGGGGCGAGAGGGCAGAGCGAGTAGCAACAGTGAGTGAACCAGGTACTGCATGCAAAGAGGGAGAAGGGGGGAGAAAATAACAGATGAAGATACAGGTATGAAAGAGGTGCTCAGTTTGCAAAAGAGAAAACAGAAATATGAATAAAAAGAGGGAAACTTGGACACGTGGTGTACAGATGAAGGTTCCCAACTCACAGCTGCGTTATCGCTTCTTCTTACCGCTTGTAAAATGTGAATTACACTTCAACTTTGGCTACTGCCACATCTGGACAAAGATCAGAGATGAATGGGAGATTTGCTGCTTTTGACATTTGGAGAGTTGATCAGATGTGTTGAGAGGGAATCACATGTGGCTGCGTTTTTTTCTACTGGACAGAAACCTGATATAATAGGACAGTAAAGCTGCCTTACATGGCATAAACATGATCAACAGCAGAACAAATGTGCATTTAGACCGATGACAGGGAGAGCCAGGCGATCGGTTTCCCCATGTGCCCAGTCTTTATGCTAAGCTAAGCTAAGCTAAATGTGCCCTGGCTCCAGCTACATATTTACAGCACAGATATGACAGTGGTATCTATCTTCTCATCTAACTCTTGGCAAAAAGCAAATAAATGTATTTCCCAAAATGTCAAACTGCTGCTTTAAGGTATCTTTGGCTCATTTTAAGTCAGTTTTTCAGAGGATTAGCAATAACAGTGATGTACAGCAGAAGTTGTCAGAATTATTGATACATCTATTCACATAATTTATTACAGTGGTAATAAATTGCAGTTGCAGCACAAAAGTAAAACCTCTAGTGGCTGTGTGTGTACCTTCAGTGTGTACAGTGTATGTCTGAGGTCTGGGCTGAAACACGTGGCGGTTGCTGGCTGTGGTTTTTTTGTCAGATCTACAGAAACGAGGAGTGCAGCTGGTGTTTTTGGTGCTGCACCTTTTTTACAGTATGACTAAAACTGACAGTCACAGTGATGGAGTCAAATCCAGATCTCCAGAAGAGACTCCCTGTCAACTAACTCACATTCCCAGAGGTAAAGCGTTATCTCTGCTGTCACTCTATGTTCCCTGAACTGAAGTAAGTGTGTGTGTGTGTGTGTGTGTGTGTGTGGGGACCTACAGGCTCTTCTCCTTATCTGTCTTTCCCGCTTTCCCTCCCCGTGTCAGCCCATATTGCCTGTATGTTTCTGTCCGATTTCCAACAAACAAAGCGCCTGTATAACGTCCCCGGGCGGCTTCATAAACTCTTACATAAGCGAGTGTTCGTGCCTGCTTGTTTGCCTGCTGTGTTCATGTGTTTGATTAAGTGAAAGTAAAGAGACACCGTGTGTGTGCATATGTGTGTATTTGTATGCCTTCAAGACCATCTGTCTATGGGTTGCGTGTCCTGAGACCCCCCCCCCCCACACACACACACACACATACACGCACACACACACACACACACCCTCTCTGAACCTGATTCGACCATCTGAGACTGTACTGTGCTCCTGTTTGTACCCATTAGTCCACTGTATGGCTGATCCTAGTGATGGTGCTTATGTAAGTCGAGTTTTGCATGTCAGGGAACACATTCCTCTTGGTCAACAGCTTCCTGGATACTGATGGAATCTGCAGTTGCAACGTGTGTGTGTGTGTGTGTGTGTATGTGTGCATATGTGTGTATGTGTGTGTGTGTGTGTGTGTGTGCATATGTGTGTGTGTGTGTGTGTGTGTATGTGTGAGTTTGTCTGTGTGTGCCACTGTGATTGTCTCAATTGCTCCCATACTAGCACAGAGAGAGGCTTTGTGTGTGATGGTCACTCTTATCACTGCTAAGTACAGAGGCAATGATGGGCCATTTCATCAGCTAATACTAATCGTTTACAGGTCAATGTTTCCAGGTAAAAGCTCATAGAGAGGAGAAGAGAGGAGGAGAGGAGAGGAGAGGAGAGGAGAGGAGACTCTCTGCATTTCAATTCTCTCTTTTGTTCTCTGTTTGGACATCAAGGGCTATCACCCTCACAGGTGCCCATGAATGATTTATCACAGCCAGAGGGAGACATCACTGGACAGCTGAGGTGCCAAGTTCATTTGCACTGAACTTCAGGTGAGCCGATAGGGTCAAACACACTGACTCCCGAAGACCAAGTTGAGCACCAAAGAAGAACGTATGAACGTAAGGACTATTCAAACTCACACTCAATCCTCCTCAGCCGAGCGGAAGCGGAAGTTCTGTTTATCGGCCTTTGTGTTTGCACGTGTGCTGTCATTCCTCCCCATCAATCTTACTCTCATCTGCCAGAGGTTTCTATCAGTTGTGTATTACTCACAGCATCTCATTCTCCTACTTTCTAAAGAGAATAATTCATCACTGAAAGAACAATAAATCACTGTCACACTTCTCTCCGCATTTGTGTTCATCTCTCTATGCTCCTGTTTCAACAACTTTCATGTGACACATCTGAGTATCCTTCTTAGTCAATTATTCAATTTGTCAACTGACAGAAATTTAAATTGCAAAAGAGGATTGTTTTAGTCATTGTTTTATTAACTTCTTAACTGTGAGGATTTGCTTTTCTTTGTCATATATGATGGTCTCACTCTCTCAGTATGAGCTCTGCGAGGTATAATGGGCATATTTTAGATCATATGATTATACAGGTAATTGAGAAACCAATCAGCAAACCTGCTTTACTTAGAATTAACATAGGTTAAATAAAAACAGAATTATCGCCTCGTAGTCGTATGCCTCCACCAAGTTGCAGGAAGTATGGACACAATCTCTCCTTCCTGAGTTACATCATGGAATAATGGCCAGATGTGTTTTTGCAGAACATAATGATGTCACAGTAAAGTTGACATTTGACCGTTTGGATATAAAATGTCATCACGTCATCATTTTATCCTATTAGACATTTTTTAGACATGTTTTGTGAGGTCACAGTGAGCGTGACCTTTGACCAAAATCTAATCGGTTCATCTTTGAGTTCAAGTGAATGTTTGTGCCAAATTTGAAGAAATTCCCTCAAGGCATTACTAAGATAACGCGTTCACGAGAATGGGACAGACCGACAACAGAACGCCTCAGGCCCCGACTGTTGCCGGCGCTGAGGCATAAAAAATTACCATTTTGCCCCGAGGCAGGAGGTGTTTTGTCAATCTTGTCCTCCTCGCTTCAGTTTACCATTATCACACCTATGTCAATCATTTTAATGAGCTCTCTGCTCTGAAGCAACACCTCAGCTGATGTCGTTTGGAGTTTATAGCATCCATGAGTCCACAACAGGCTTTTCTAGGAGGCTGAAAATCAGTTCAGGAGACGGCAGACTGACACAGAATTATTAACATTAAAAACATTATTTTTAGTTTTAAAAAAACTAACATCAGCCTCTGGTAATGCGCAAAAAGCTTCACTCCAGCTGACTGGCTGATGTGTATTATTCCACACAGACATATTTTGTAATAAAACTTGCAAAAGGAAATCTTAAACACAACTAATAGTATCATGGAACTATGGGGTTTTATCACAAAGTGGACACATGACAGTGAGAGGAGATGAAGTCCAGTTTGGACTAAGAATTAGTATGCAGCCCCAAAGGAAGTGCAGGGTAGGGCAATAGCATATGGGCACTGATAGGCGTCTTTGTGGCATTGGTAGGCCAAGCAGCGGGTGAAGCAGAGAGGAGGGAGACATAGAGGAGGAGGAGCCAAGGAGGAAGAAGGGGAGGGAAGCAGTGTCCCGGGGCACACGTGTTCCCTTTCAAACCCTGTCACACTCATTTTCTCTCCAACCCGCGGATGTGTGTACGCACGAGCGCACTCTCTCTCTCTCTCTCACACAGACACACACACACACACACGCTTGTCCGCGCACAAACAGACACACAAAGGGAATAAAAGGAAAAGGTGCAGGGTGCAGTCCGAGGGGGGAGAGGGGTGAGCAGCTAAAGAGGAAAGGGTGTTGCAGTGGGGGAAACCCTGATTCAGATGCTGCTGTTGTTTTGCTGTGGAGGTGGGGGGAGGTAGAGACGCTGAAGGCGGGTGAGGTGAAGGAGTGGGAGCTGGAGACGTGGGCTGAACGATAACTCACTTCAACTCAGCATGGGGGTCACTGGAGGAAATATGAGAAAATGTGTCTCCAAAGCAGAAGATTGTGAAGAATAACATACAGTCACATCTCACTTCTCACACAGACACAAAAAAAATAAAAAAATAAAAAAAATAAGGAGAGAAACATATGCAGAACAGGGCAGAAAGGATTGATCACTGCATGGAGTGATCTAAAAAAAAATGTTCCTGGCCATTTAATTCCCCGTGCCTGGAAACCATTCCCGGACATTCCCATTCCCTCAGATAGACAAAGGCCAGGGTTCGCCCCTGTGCTGAGGGTGTAGTATAAATGTATGCAGTAAATTCAGCCAGACAGACACCCCCCACCCCCCTTCCCCCCTAACCTCCATCACTCACTCATGCTCCCTTTCACGCAAATTGGGGGAGGGGCACATGGCTGCACAACCACCTACGCATGTAACAAACACGCACAATAAAAACACACAATCCCAAACACATTAATGAACCAACCCTCCCCTCCCTTCCCTCTTCCATCTCCTTTACATTTCCCCAAATCACATCCCACCTCCTCTCACTCCTTATGCAAACACAGTCAAACCATTTTCCACCTGGTTCATTATAAGCCTCAAACCTAATGATAAGAGAGAAGGTAAAAGGACACACAATATGCACGTAAACACATCTCTGCACATGAAACACACCGCTCATTTGAATACTTCTCATGTCAGCTCTTCATTAAGTCCCATCCCACACGGCCTCACAGGTTTTAATCACAAAGAAGTCTTTGTAAAAATGAGACTTTAAATAAATCAAGTAAATATGCACGATTAAAACATGACTGAATGAGTCTAAAAAGCCAGACATATTTACTGCCAGCTGCTGACGCTCGTAATTCATCTTTCAGAGCTGAGCACTGGCAGGAGAGAAAGGCTAGATCATTACCATGTCCTTATTGAATGCATATGATTTACCGGGCCACATCCTGAGGACAGATGACAAGTACGCCCCATTGTTTCAAACAGACAGTGGACTCACACAACTGCTCTGCCTGGAAAGTAGACCACAACATTATTTCCCATGATAGTAACTCATATGTTACTTGATATTAGCTCTTACACTCCTACATGATCATTTCACATACAGTTCCGGACAGTTTGCTCACGATTATGGCATGGGCGTATGTCTGTTTTGGTAGGTGGATTCACACATACACACATTGTTTTCCCTTTTTGCAGATATTGAATGGGGTGGGGGAAAGTCGTGGCCTATATGAAGGGCAGATGGGGCTCCCTCCCTCCATCTCTCCCTCTGCCCCAGCATCAGACTGTCTGTCTTTACATCTAACTCTCTCTCTCTCAACAGATGGACCCAGGAGAATATTGGGACGCTCCTAATCTGATGCTCTATGTGCAGAACTACGGACAAACAAAAACAAACACATATATCTACAGTCTCTACAGCCTAATCTGTTTTGGTAGAATACAGCAGCTTAAAAGATTTTTTTGTGCATGTGTGTGTGGCAAAGTCAGATATATTTTGGCTGTCAACAATTAGCTCTACAACATTTAATTACACATAATTACACAACTGCCTTGAGTGAAAGCAGATATGTGACTCACTCATCCACACCCCTCAAATATTGTAAAAATTAAAAAATGAGTAAAAAAATAAAACAGGCCAAACCATATTCCTGTCAAATCATGCTTTGTTTAAAACACTCATATGGCCTCTTGCACAACACATTTCGTGAAACTAACTCTGCACATTCCGCATGATCAGTGTAAACATCTGCTGTCAGTCAGCAGAAAGACAGACATACAATATAAACTGAGCTGAGAGTTACAAACAAGTCTAAGTCCGTTCATATTTCGCAATTTTTGCATATTAAAGATGAAACAATGTTTGCAGCTGTATGGTTTTTTTTACAAATCAGAGACTGTTCATGCCCAGACCATCAGGATCAGCACCGTTAAAAGTCATCAGTTTTTAACAACTTAACAAAAACTGCACGCCCCTTAAATCGGTATAATATTGCAGGTTTCCCATACATGCATAAAAGGAGGTCAGCAATGTATAATTACATATAATAATCTGCCGTGCTTTGTGTGGGCTACATCTACTTGACAGCACGAGCCGCGCAGTGAGCGAGAGTCGCCCTCTCAATGTGCGCCTTGTGACATTAGTTGCATGAAATTATCTATGCAAATTCACCCGTCCAGCGCTGACAAAGAGCCCCGCTTGCAAACTTTCTGTCACCCGTGTTTATAAAGCAGAATGTGGACAATGGCAACTTTCTGTCCAAGTGAAACCAAGTCCGCGAGAGACATTTACGCGCGGCTTGGAGACGCTTTCTCTGCAAGATTGTGAATGAGGGCATGCTTTTATATCAGTATTACACAACACAGCAAACAGGCAACGATACCTGCAAAGAACAGACACACACACGCGCGCGCGCGCACACACACACACACGCGCACACACACACGGAGACTGTACATGGCAAGAGTGTTAATTTTGTGATTCTAATTTAAACGCGCGTTAAACCTATATAATTACTATGCTCACTACACAACATGCAAACAACCTATGCAATAATTCAATGAAATATTAAAAATTTACTCACGATTTTAGAGGATTATGAATGACAGTCGCCATTTTCCTGCAGGACTGTAACGTAATATTCCAAATCTCGGTATAGTTTGGGACCCTTATGAAAAAACACACAACAGCCAATGCGGTCCTGGGCACTGTGCTCCCTACCAATACAACACCAGCATCAAGACATTAGGCGTGGCTTCAGGGAGGTATGTCAAAATCAATGTCCCAGTCCTTAGATTGTAGTAATCTCATAAAATAAACTTGATTTAGGTTTAGTCCATTTGAAATTAGATGAATATCATAAACTATGAGTTTTGATTGGGTTGACGGGTTTTGACGTCTGTTTAGATAATAATCCACCAGTTTATAATACAGCCATTCATTTTAATTACTCAAAATTATGAATGACTAGAATAAAAATGCACCGACAGACAGCACACATTGTGAGCATGTACATTCATGCATGCATTTGCATTTGAACGTCCTTCAATCCAAAGTAATAAAATAATGTCCATATATTTATCCTGATGCGTGGCTAAAACGATCGCTAAGAAAACAACCAATGAATGCCTTCAACGTCACACACTATTGTTAGCAATAGGCCAATGAATGACATTTGGAGGCGGGACAACATGGAAGGAACTTAATGCTCAGTACTTAGCTCATGAGGTGCTAAAACAACTATGTTTATCAGTTTAATGATAAAATTGATTGTTTTCCTGTAACGGAAGCCGTATTTATTGACCTATTGAAACCTGTTCAACATTGACTCCTGTTAAATGTTAAGCGTCAGTATTAAAACGTGTCGAGAAGGATGTGTAGCTAACATTAGCTCAAGAGTGCTAATGGCAAGAACTTGCTAACTAGTGCTAACACGTAGACACGCTACCTCTACCTAGCTTCACTCGCTCGCACAAATTTACAGAAGTGAATGAAAGGCGACGTGTTGTTAGGACCTTCACTTTGTGAATTACACAGCAGGAATGAAGAAGTGGACCTGGCGAGAGGGGCAGCGACCGCACAGGCGACAAGGGGGTGGTCACCGCCGCGGCTGGTACAGAGACAACCGGCAAAGATCAGCACAGGACGAACAGTGGTATGTTGAATTAAATGTTGACACATATTTGAGGTACTTAGTTCAAAGAGTGTGACATGTGTCTTAGTCACAACTGCTCAGTATTGAGAATGCATATAAATGTCAGTAATGAACTATTATCCATAGTTTAGCATTGAGACTTTCTTACTCTCATTTCACAGGTATGGACACGATGCAGGGCCGTCACGTAGAACATCTCAGAGGAGGTATGATAACCAGTCTGCCTCTTCCTCTTCTTCATCGTCTTCCTCATCCTCATCTTCTGCCTCCAAGGCCAGCAGTGCTGCCCCAGGTCAGAACCAGAAACGATCTGCTTAATCACATGAATATGAGAACGTCTCATTTACATTGGTCCAAGGTGTGGTTTGTTTGTGTTTGTTTTGTTTGTAACACAAAAGCTGCTTCATATGGACTCTTGTCATGAACACTGATAACACAACCACACGTGAAAGCACTAATAGCAAACACCACAACAGAAAATAAACTTGGTCCAATCTTTATGTTTGAACCTTGAAGTATATAATCAATATTCCTTCTGTAACCTGGATAGTAGGGTGATGTAAATTTAAGATGTGGAGAAAAGATGACCGTTGTTCTGTTTCCAGAACTGCCTGGTTTTTACTTTGACCCAGAGAAAAACCGATACTTTCGTCTGTTGCCGGGACATAACAACTGCAACCCGCTGACCAGAGAGCGGCTGCAGGAGAAAGAAAGGGAGAAACAGAGAAACAAGTTGCTCGCAGAGGATGAAAAACCCAGAAAAGTAAGTCTGCTGTGTTTGTCTCGAAACTCTTACCACGAGTGCTACCTTCAAGAGGAGCAACTTATGTAAAAACTGAAATGCTTATATTGTAATTATCATCAAAATGACATTTCATATCATATGAGTCGATTTGAAATATGTAGTTTTGTAGACTGAGCTGAAGCATTTTGGCCACAACAAAGAGAAACTGCTGGACTGTAAATTGTGTTGATCACTCTGTCACTGAGAGGACGGTGTGAAAAGCAATGCAAAGAAGTTCACTGTTTGTTGATTCTGATTGAAACAAGCGGACGTCCTGTCTTCTGGTTTATTTACAGAGAAGAAATAAATGTAACAGAGAAATCATGACATCTTTTTTCCACCCTTAGCTGGGAATGAGCCATGTTCTAAAACTTGTGGGCCTGGATTGGTTTCATCCCTGTTTAATGATATCCTCTTCTTTGTAGAAAGCACCAAGAGCAGGACTGAACACTTCACTGCTGCTGCAGAAAAGACACCTTGGCTTGTTACCTGAGAGCTCCTATTGCAGGTACTGTATCCCACTGCTGTGTGCACATGCATACAAGGACATAGAGCTGTTCCCCTTGTGGCCCATACATGTTTCAATAGCAACAGCTGTAATACATTACAGAAAACAACCCCAGTCAAACAAAGACTAACTTGAATGTTAATCAGTTCTGTATGTGTAGAATGAGGTTTCTTTGTAGCATGGCCGGCCTCTAACAATGATGCTAACCATTTTTGACGTGGGTTTCAAAACAGTCATAAGAAATAAAGAGAGAAACAAAAGCAGGCTAAAACATAGTCAAAATACTGTGCTGTCCGAAAGTCTGAATTATATGAATTTATGTCACTTACAGTTGCATCAGCAGCCGAAGTGATTTATATTCAGCCTATCGGCAAACATTTTTTAAATAAACAGACACATTCACTTTGTCAGATAGCTGAAAGGAAGTGAGTAAATTATTCTTGTTCTGTAGATTGTCTGTGGACAGTGGTAGTCAACGTTACCATGGTTACTGTATGTCTCCAGGTTGGTCCATGAGGTGAAGGTCAGCGGAATGAGACGCCACAAACTAGAGATCCAGAGCACAGACAACAGCAACCCCAACACTGACAACTTCAGACTGATAGTGGTGAGACTACACACAGACACACAAACAAAACGTCCCAGGGCTGATACATAACTTCATACGTAGACAAACATTTTTCAACATATATATATTTGATTTTTTTTCCCCCAAGTATCCTTAACTTGCTTTTGCTTGATCCTCCTTCGTCTTCCTTGTCTTCCTCAGGGGGACTCGGCGTGTGAGCGAGTGTTTACAGTCAATGATGTCTCTCACGGCGGCTGCAAGTACGGCATCATGAACTTCAGCAGCAGTAGCCGGGGCTCTCTGTCAGTGGAGATGTGTGATAACCTTTACTTCACCAACCGCAAGGTGGGAGTATTTCACTAGAGCTGAAGCAGTGACTCTAAATATTTAGACATCTCTTGTACTTCTCTGTGCCCGTATTTTTCCCTTCATTGGTTCAGGGGAATTTTTATTAGGTGTAGATCAACCCAGTAAATTACCTCAGATGCTTTGAATCCCCTTTTAAAGGCTTTAAAGTACAGTATATCTACATGTTGAAAAACTGCAAAACCAGTATTATCAGTTCCTAAGAAAATTAAATGTTGTAAAAGCGGTTTTTAATCCAACAACAGTGAATTTTGACACTTCTGCTCTGGCTAAATGTGTTTCAGGTGAATTCCATATGCTGGGCCTCAGTCAACTATCCAGACTCCCATGTGCTGTATCCTTCTTCAGTTTTAGTGGAGCTCTTAGTCAGTCCATATGTCTCAAAACTCAGTTGCTGCTTTGGATTCAAAAGAGAGGATCTGTATGTATGCTTTCATTAGAATGGAAATACAATGTCTCATACCTGTCAAACACCCCTCTTGAAATAGATTCCATATCAACACACAGTCATTTTTAACATTGTAGTACTCTTTATTTTATTTTTGAGTTCCACAAGTGTCTTCTTTTGGTGGACACTGGTTCTGTTTTTCTTGACTGAGCTGACCATCAGGCTTTGTCTGGTCGGAGTGGCAGACACCCCTGGCTGCGTCAGTTTACTTCCTGCTTCGCTCTTCAGCAACTCCAACCCAGGTTAGATTAAATAGAATATCCTCAGGTGTATCAATTTATTTTAGACTTTAAACTAGCCTATTACATTTTATTACTGTTAAGGCAGATTGCAGGCACTTTGCAAGATTTTGTCTAGCCAGGATAATTATGGTCCATTTTAGTCAATGAGTCCTAAATGGGTTCCCAATCAGCTGCATTAGTAACATACTGATATGTCTGCAGACTGAAGGTGATCAGAAAGGGCATATTTCATGTTGGTATTGTTTGGTTTACTTCACATTAATGTCTCCCCTCTTTAATTCCTCTGTCCTCAGACCAGCCCGGGATGCTGTGCAGCTTTAAGATATCCACAGCCTGGTCTTGTGCTTGGTGTCTCAACCCACAGTTTGACAAGACCTTCAGCACTGGTCCGTTCCATCATCACTGTTCTTTCTACTCATAATCAAATATAATAATTACAATCAGTCACAATCACTGGCATCTTTGGAGTACGTTGGTTGGTTTGGCTGCGGCTCTCGGCTGCTTAACAGTCTCTTAAATCACACTCACTTTGTTTGGACAGAAACAAATTCAGCAACACATGTTGGAAACTAATCATAGACTGTATCAGTTGTTCTTCATAGGCCACAGTGGGGTCACAATCACTGCAAGTGCACAGAAAAGCAAACTCAAAGCTCAAAAGCCATCTTGAGGTTACAGGGTCACAGATACTTCTAATATGTTTTCTTGATACCAATATTCATGTGGAGTACTGAGTAACCTTATCTCTTATAATTGATGTTGATGATTAAAATAAGACAGCTATATAAATTTTCTCCCCACAAAGTTATAAATCTAAAATAATTGTGTTCTTGCATGTGTTGGCAGGCCTGTCTCGCAGGGTAATTGTGAAAGATGCAGAGACGGGCCGAACACAGACGTACAGCGTAGGCAGCGATGTCTTGGCTCAGCAGTTTGCCCTTAGGGTGAGTCATTTGTTACATGAAAATGATGCATGTTTGAGTACACCGGAAATATGTTTTAGTGTAGATTTCTCTTTGATATGACCCAGAACAACACTGACCAGAAGGAGATTACCAAGGGAATAAAAAGACCTCCTTTTTTCTCCCTCAGGTCCCTGTGCTGTTTAACGGTTGCCGATCGGGGGAGATCTTCAGCATCGACTTGCGGCAGCGCGGCCGCAGGGATCAAAGCTGGAAGGCCAGCCGCTTCCATCAAGAATCAGCCATCACTTCTGTCCGCGTCCTCCAGGATGAGAACTATCTACTGGCTGCTGACATGCTGGGCCAGGTCAGCTAAAAAGAATATTTCTGAAACACTTGGAATCTTGCTATACACATTTGGTTCTAAATTACTAGTATGTTAATTATGTTTTGGTCCTGAGATGAGGTTAATGTCCCAATTCGGAAGATTTGGCACCCTCATGGCCAAGAAGGGTGTTGACAACCTGTAACAACTTAGTGGTTGGAATAATAGACAGAACTGTTTATTGTGTATTTAAACTTATAAATCAAACTGTGAACTTTGGTTACTGACAAAGTGGTAAAGGAATGACAGAAAGGTGTCATTAGGGAAAATTAAGCAAGATTGTAATTGTTTCGGCTCTTTACATTGGAGCTAAAGCTGTACTTTACAGCCTTTCACACAAGTAAAATCCCGGGACCCTCAAGAATAGAATATAAACATGGTAAAACCACTTCTGTTATTGCTTTAACTTTGTGTGTTTTGTGTGCAGATCAAGCTGTGGGATGTGCGAGTGACAAAACCAGTGCAGGAGTTCAAAGGGCATTATAATGAACATGCCTACCTTCCTATTCATGTCAATGAACCTGAGGGACTTCTGTTGGCAGGTAACATGCTCTATCAGTATATTCACTACTGAGACTGGGCTTGCTTTTCAAAACTCACTGTTTGACTGTTGTGTGTCCTCTCCACAGTGGGTCAGGATTGCTACACGAGGTTATGGAGCTTAAAGGACGGCCACCTGCTACGGACCATCCCATCACCCCACCCGGTTGCAAACGACCTGATCCCAAGCGTCGTCTTCTCCTCCAAGTTGGGTGGCTGCAGGGGGCTCCCCGGCCTGCTCATGGCTGTCAAACATGACCTGTATTATTTCCCATACAACACTGACTACCAGGAAGGAGGAGAGCAGATGGCTGGATTTTGTGAAAATGTTTCATCTGACACGTGATTTCTGAAAAAAAAAAGACATCTTTTTTTTTTCTTTTCTTTTAATGCACAAATGGTGTTATATTGATATACAAAACCTGTAGGTATTGTATAAGTGAAAGGCTTGCAGTGCATTTCCACAAGGTGGAACTGAACTCTTATCTTGGAAGATGACCTCAGAAAAGTTACATTTATGTCTCAGGGGAATGTTATTTTTCACAGACTTGTTTGTGCCAAAAGGAAATAGAAATGCTACACATGGGTGAAGACAATTGCTTGCTGTAACTTTTTCAAATTAAGTGTACTTACTTAAAACATGACTGACTTTAATTGGTAATGTAATTTAGGGTGTTTCTGATCTGAATTTCAAATGAATGATACTGTGTTTATACTGTTGATTGACACAACTTTTTCTAATTGTTGTTTAAAAAAAATCATTAAACACAGTGATCTGTTGAATTATTTTTGTTCTCTAAATGACACACACAAACTCACATAAGAGGTTTCTGCAGTTTAATACATAGTGTATGAGCATACATGAACATAAAGGTATTGATTTGTTCCATGTGATATCTGTATCTCTGAGATGATGAGATGGTTCACTCATTCAGGTCAAAGTCTGTTATTTCAGCATAATCCAACCAACTCTCCCAGTCAGTCTCTGAAAGAAAAATCCTACATTAACTATCAACACAGTCAGACCTCACAATGCCTGGGTGTTCAGTCAAAAGCCTGACTGGATTACATGTTGCATTTATAAGATAATTGTCAGGTACATCGCTCATTAAAAGCTCCTCTCTAACCAGCTACACAGCCTGAGTTGACAGAGTAAAGGATTATTACTCTTCTAAATATTTCCTGTTTTGAGGGGCCAGCCTCAAAAAGATGGTTTGACTTCTTCTCTGTACCATATTGCTACTGTGAGCCAGCCACTCTATAAAAGCAGTTTCTGTTGCATCTTATCCTGCTGCAGTCAGATTTGTCTTGTTAACAGATAGTAGTTTTGACATTTTAAAAACACAACGAGGCCATTTAGAAATGTCCCTGTTAAAAGTAAACTTTTTTCCCATATATGTATATATTCTATGTAAAACAGTCTATGTGGACAGCATTATTAAGGCTGTTCTATTATCATCTGCCCACTCAGATGCTCAAACACCCACAAAAGGATCAAGGGATTATACAAGTAGTTATTACTGAGTAATTATATAAGCTGGAATGCATGTCGGTGCTACAGTACATCAGTGGCTTCTGATTGTGGTAATACTCCTGAAGCCAAAGAGTGGCAGGAAAGCTAAAGCTAGCGAGGCTGGACCAGAGGGACATTACAGTGGATCCAGTCAAACATGGATCAGAATTCCTTGTGGTGGATCATTTTTCAGGTTTTCCCTCATTTCCTCTCAAGCCAGTTCTGAATGTTAAATCCAGAAACAACCTTAGACTAAAAGTGCTTACCTGGAATCAGTTAGTACTTCTATTATTACACAGTTTACACATGTAGCCCCAGTCTACAAAAAGGTGCTAATAGTACTAGTGTGTCACACTGAGAGGGATTGTCAAAGGGGTAAGGGTTTCATGTGCATCAATACAAATTTGAAAAGGGTCTAAAGGGGCACGTGGAAATTTACCTGAACTCAACTGGAAGCAAGCATATACTGTACAATACTCACTTTCATCATCTCTCTGAGTTGTTTCACCTCTCCTGTCTTCTTGATATTGATACAAATCTCACTCTGACTGGTGTTCTTCACAGTGTAAAATATAGGGATATTAAAGTGAGATAGCATCGAGGGACTGAAGTGACGTGAGGACAGCGTTAAAAAACAATAAGTCCAACCTGCCACAGACAGTCAGGTGGCAGCCAAGACAAGCCACTAAAGACAACAAGGATCTGACGTCTTTTAGCGTCTTTGAGTCGAAATGGTGTCAATTCCAGGTTTCGTATAAGTCGGCGTCCTTAAAACATTACCACTCTGACTCTTATTCCTGGTCCTGCTAGAGCTCCCCGGGTTTCTGGTTGCAACCGTTGCAGACCCTCACAGGATGATCCCAGCCACGCGAGGGCACAGAGCGCCGCTCCTGGGAGCAGTCGTCGCACACGCCCTGGCCACAGGCGCGACAGTGGTGGATGGAGAGACGTGGGGCGAACTCCTTCTGGCACTCGCAGCAGGAGTGGATGTCCTGATCTGGGACCCAGTAGGCCGGGCGAGCTGCGTCCTTCACCAGGCCTGGACGCACAGACAAAAGGGAATGTAGTTGTTAATATAACTAAACAGCCGGGGTGTCTCGTGACAGGGCACTTTGTGATTTATTCAACTGGGAAATCAGCTTCTGTTATTGTGAAAAACCAGAATTACCCATCTATTACAGCTTTGCATTAGGGCTGAATGATAACGTTTCAGTATCAATGCTAAAATCTATCCATGTTTAGTGGTAACATTGCAAAGGAGGAAATGTGGTAAAGCTATATCATGTTACATTAAAACTCATGCAGCTTGATAGAAAACAAAAACTAAAAATTTTATTTTTCATGACTAAAAATTATAAATAACAAGTCACACTTAGAGCTGAAATGTTATTCTGAAATCTTCTGAAGTATAAAAACTTCTACCACATCATCTTCTACCATATTTTACAGTATCAGGAGTAAATACACTGTTTTGACTGTTGAACAATAGCTGGATAGAGTGATAGTTTTAATTAGAAGTGATCTTTATCTGCATTGCTTTGATAATGCAGACAGATCTGGTGCTCACCCAGAGGTATATCGATAGCACCAACGACAGCTCCTAAAGTGTTCTGAACAGCCTCCCCGACCTTCCTGGCTATCAGAGTGCCTCCTTCCTCCTCCAAGGCAGCGTCCAGCAACTCTACAACAGGAAAACATGCACTCATCAGGTCAGACACTCTCGTACCGTTAAGAACCACATCCAGAAAACTGATATCCCATCTGCATACCAGTCGGGATTCCCCTGTTGTGGAAACATGCATCGCAAACTCGCACGGGTGCAAGGCCCCAGCCCCTCTCTGGGACCGGTCGTGTTTTGGAGGAGCAGGCGTCACAGAAACCCTCTCCACAGGCACGACAGTGGTGCTTGGTGTCGTTGGGCTGGAACTCTTCCGCACATTTATGGCATCGCTACATCACACACAGTAAGGATAATGTGAGTATATTTTCATACTGCAGCAAGAGTTCTGAAAAGAAGAACATTTTGAAGACATGCTTTCACTTCAGAATATGGATATTGTCATCAAATCCTGTTTGGATAGGAACCACAGGGTGTAACTATTGTGAAACAGTCTGGGTGTCTGTTGTATATGTATGTAGTTCAGGCCTCCATGATCTAAATCTCAACCATCTGTCCTCTTTTCCCACCCTCCATCCACTGCTGCGTCTGAGCGTCCTCACAATCACACCTTTGTTTTAGATGTTGCATCACTGCTATCAGTTATAATATAAATCTTCCACTACACTGTTATAAATGCCAAATAACTCAAGTAGAAAGACTAAACCCAGGCCTGAACTGTGTAACAGGTTGAGGTTCATGAAAATCATTGACAACAAAAAGGGCCTCATAGGAACGTATTTGATGTCAACCAGTGTTTCGCAAATAACACGCTCAGAGTTTATTTGTTCTAGCTTTAGTCCAGTTGTAGTCATGTACCAGGATAAGGGAGTTGGGTTTCCAGTAGGTGGGAGCAATCTGGTCCGTAAGCCAGGAGGTGACTGCTTTGGCAGGCTTGACGCTGAGTTCAGACACTGACTGAGAAATGTATTTCACTCCATCCAGCAACCTCTGAGCAGCATTGTTGTTGTCTTTCAAAAACCCATCAGACTGAAAAGAAGACAAGAAAAGTACAACAGAGTGAAGATACAAAGTCTTACCGGCTGACTTCCTTACTCAGCACTTTTGACTGAGTATGCTGTCGCAAACAAAATTCTGCATTACTTTCCTGGACATCTAAACACAACCAGCTGGCAAAAATTAACAGCAAATGTAGCTCACAGCAGATGTGACAACATTCATTCAACCAAAAACCTTTAACTTCTTGGCTTGAAACCTTGTTTAATTGGTTTAAGCAGAATCTCATTGAAGTTGTTCCACTGTGGCCTTACCCCAGGCCAGATGTGCTGGATTTCTGTTCTGACCACTGTTTCCACTGGGTCCTGGTTTCCATACCAGTACTGCCTGCTTCTGTAGATCACTGCACAGTTTGGGCACTCAATGACATACCTAGACAAAGATAAAAAATGATCTCAGGTCCAGTATGAAAGGGACAGATTGGTGGTCTTGGCCTTTACTGCAGAGCTGCAATACATTTGTTATTCATTCATTGTTATTCATTAGAGTACTTTCTGTTGCTATAGCTGAGCAAAACCAACAGTGAACCACGCTCTGTAATGTTTTCCCATTTTTTAGCATAATGAATGAGGATATATTAAATTATTTGTGCTTGCAAAGAAGCCATTTCCATTTATTTTCCAAGCGGCTCTATGGCAGATGGACTCACCCTGACCAGGCGTAGATGGCCAGGCCAAACCATGGTGAGTCAGAGGAGGCCGTCGTCTTGGGAACCACTATTACCTCCTTCCCTCCCTCATAGCAGGCCTGAAAAGATCAGCACACACACTCAGAACCTCATCATGCAGACTTCCCTCAACACGGGCATGTATGGCGTTGCGGGTTTTTACTTGCCTTGCAGGTGTAGATGCGATTGTCATACTGTGCAGAGTAGCGGCAGCGATGTTTGGCTTCATGGTCGAGTCCTTCCTTTAGGTGATTCATGCTTCTCTTACAGCCTGAACTGAAAGTGGGGGCACATCAAAGACATCACACTAGATTTTGCAGGTGTAATATAATCATATCATAATATTAACAATTATATAGTTGTAGTTAATACAGCTAAATCACTTAGAAAAGCTACGAGGGTCAGATAAATGAAGATAGCGGCAGTTTGCGATTATACCTCAGAGGGCAGCTGTCACGTCTGAGAATGTCAACAAATACAAAACCTTTTCTGTCATGTTTGTTTTTCTGTCTCGTGAATGATCATCTCTGTCTTTCTGTGACTGAACTACAGGTGCGGAAAATAAGTGAGAGGCACATACCCACAGCTGAGGCAGATGCTAGAGCAGGTGAAGTACTCGTCTGGAAAGAAGGAGTTACTGATCATGTGCTCATCTGCAATCTCCCCACTGAAGCGTTCACTGAGGGCCTGAGGGGAGGAGCGAGGAGGAGATGGAAGAGTCAATGATGCTCACTTTGCGTGATTCTGACTATACATTGTTAACTGAATGCCTGAAAGCGCAATATAAACACATTCATACTGAGAATTGTTTCTTCACTTCACCTTGGCAGATGACCAAATAAGTGGCAATACAATCCACATTTCTTCATACAAGCAAGCATCACTACCTGCAGAGCCTTGTAGATGACACTGGCAGAACGAGGTGAGCGGGTGGTGTTGTTATCCAGCTGTTGCTCCAGGCTGCGCAGCAGACCACTGAAGTCTGTGGGTGGGTTGTAGGTGCGAGTTCCACGGTACTGGATGGAGCTGAAAGCTTCTGGAAACAGACCCAGCTTCCTGAAACGCTCCTGAAGCAGACGCTCAGCTGATTCAGATGGCTTGTCTAGAGATTGAGAGGCAGACAGAAAGTGGAGGAGAGGATAACTTGAGCATCTACGAACAATCTTGCTCATTTCATTCCTAGTGAAGTACAGTCAGTACAGTACAGTCCAAATCATAAATGAGCCTTATTTGACCTGATCCTAGTAGCTTGGTATGGACGGTCTCATGGAAGATGATCACCGCAGGGCCCAGAGTGGACAACGGGACGTCCAGACCACAGCGGCTGGTAGTCGCCTTCAACTCCCTAGTGAAATGTTTCAAGTAGGCATCTGATGCATCACCAAGGAACTTGAAGAGATCGTCATGGAGACGGTCAGCATGTGTTCTGTAGATGACCACATCAGAGATAGCCAGGACCTTGAGAAGCAGCCGGGTTCGCTGACCCTGATTGGCTCCTGGTGATCAGTGCAAACAAGACTGTTAGTTGTGGGAAACAGCCTCCCACTACCCCGTTTATTTCATGATATAAAACAAATCAATTGTTTTCCCCATACCAGCCCCAAGTAGTCCCTCTGTATCGATGACTACAACCCAATGCACAGGGTCCATAGCTGCCCAAACACCCACAGTGCAGGACTCCTGGGTGGGTGAGGTCTTGAACACTTCTCTCCCAAGGAAAAATGTATGGTTCAGGGTGTGGGACTTGCCCTCCCCAGTGTTCCCAAAGATAGAGACCACCTTGAGGAGCTCATCTGGTCTGCAGCCAAGTCGTCCAACAAAGTCTTCCTCATCCTTCACCTGACAATCCACACAAGATCAGCCACATTCTCATACCATCTCATCAGCAAGTTGTGTACAAAAGATGAATTTTCTCACACACTTACCTGCATCTCCTCCTTTTCGTCCACCAAAAGGAAGCTGCACACCTTCTCCAGCTTGGCCTTTAAGATCTCAATATCTGCCTCCCCAGCAGTCACGCTGTTCTCCTGGAGAGCTTTGGCTGGAGGATAAGATGTCAGAGGGTGCTTCCTCTTGTTGACTCCACTGTGGGTACGTTTCTGGCAGTCTAGACACAGGTTGATCTTACAACCCTGGCAGCGCACCACAGCTCTGAGCCGCCCACCATTGACAGAGCAGCTGCTGTCTCCTTTACAGGAGTCACAGAAAGGAACATGTCCTGGTGCAATCCGAACCCGGTCATGATTCCTCATCCGCTCCTGGCGATGGAGCTCCAGTTCACAGCGGGCACACTGCAAGCTGCCACACTCATCACATTCAAACGCAGCCTCATCTGAACCCCCACAGGCATAGCTCTCCTGACAGACTAGAATTGTGTTCATTCCTTTATCTACAGCTGGACCTTGACTACTCATCTCAAACCTGACAGGTCTGGACACGACCCTTGGTGTTGATAAGAGGGGGAACTGTGCCTTAAAGTACTACTTTAAGTAACTATGATTGCAAAAGCAATGCAGGTGGAAGACACAAGGTTATGGCACAGTTAAACAAATCTCTATGACCAGATGTGATGTAACCTTTTTGTTCAAACTCTCTAAAAAGCCAATTCACTTATGTGCAATACTGTTAAAAAGTACAATGAAATGTTCAGCTGACCTTGTTGCTACTTATTGTCAATGCGGATATTCAGTATGTGGTAATGCGAGTCCAGGTAGCAATCTCAAACACAACTGTGCAGACTAGTAATTACTTTATGTTTTGGCACAACAGTTTGCTAGTTAACATTAACTGCCCTGCATCTCTTGTTATGTATTTTGAAATGTTGCAGCTCAGCTGACGATGGCAAGTTGCTATTTAAAAGCAGCTCAGTATATTCGTCATAATGCCCAAGAAAATACGCTGTGAAACTCAGCAATAACCAATCACTAGCTAACATTTGCTACACAAAGAGATACACTTCTGAAGAAACAAACAACCTTCATTTCAATCGACTGACCTAGCAGCGGCTACTAGTCCGACGAACGACGACTGACTCGTTAAGTTAAACGCTGCCTCAGCAGAGTCTAAAACCGGACACGTACACTAACACCACACCGCCGACTGCCACATACAGAGAAAGTTAGCTAGCTGAGCTGTTTTGTCTCAGACCTAGTAGATGTTGTTGCTTTTACATCAGCTGATCGGCTTGTTTTTATCCAGAGGTCAAAAGTCATAAGGACACATTGCATTTTGGGTAATGAAGGACTTATGAGTTGCATAGAAAAGCAATTGATTTTATTCTATTTATATACTACTGTCTTCGGTTTCAATGTACATATACTAACGTAAAATATTCATATAGTTTCTAACGGGACTTTGAAAAAAGTTACTTAAATAAAGTGAAAGGCATATAGCAAATCGGATACTAACCGCTGCCCATAATGCTTTGCATCTTCCAGCTGCTGTAGGGTTCACTTTTATTTGAAACCGGTACACACCGTATCTTCACCGGGTGGACGGAGACAGCACTTAGTATTGACACAGTGTTCTAACATCAAGTGCTGCATCATATATGGTTTATGGTTAGGTGGATTCATTATTTGAATTTCTCTGTTCGCTGTGAAGCACGCTCGTCGCCCATATCCCCTGTCACATGCCCTTTATTTTAGCCACTTGAACTATATTCAATCTGAGTACCCCGGTACTAATAACGAGCGCAACTAATATCAGGATTGATTTCTTTTTTGGCACTAATCCATTTATACTCGCTGTTTGTCATTTCGTCCTTTCTCATTTTATATTTAACTGGATCAAACTAGCACATTGGGTATGTACGCATATGTTCCCTGTTACTGTCGCTAAGAAATCACCGCTTTCTGTCTTCATATGCTACTGACCTTGCCTGTTTACAGCAGGTAGCTAACGTTAGCTCAGCGCTAACCTATCCTCACCGTTAGCTAACTGTGTCTGAGAGTTCGCTTAGTGCTCGTGTTTCTTCTTAACTCACTCTGTTTTTGTCGCGTTTGTCATGGAAGATGAGGCCTTCACTGACATTAATGGCAAAGCAATATCTCTGGACTGTCAGAGTCACTCCAGCTTTTGCAGAGAGTTCACTGTCAGCTCCTCCAAAGTGTCCATCGGTAAGGTGATGGTGTACACTTGCTCTGTTTGGCTTTTATCATACGCCGTGTTCTTCTTCACTGAGGTAAGACAAGTAACTTTATGGCTGACATTACAACACAGTCCTTACTGGATGACTCACTGTAATAATTAGTAGACCAAAAAAATCACGTCATTGCACTGTAAAATCTTTTACTATAGATTTCAGTGGCATCTTGAAAAGTAAAGTATACAGTTTTGAATTTTCTAAATTTAATTACTGTTCAACCTGCTTTCACTTTATATTATCTCTTCTTGACCATGCTAAACATTCCAGATTAGAGATTGTATAAGAGCGCCAACAGTCATGTTATGTATTGTTTATTATGTGTTTATTGCCAGTATTGTTTAGCTCTAATAGGTTTCATAATTGCCATAACTGATTTAGTTAAGCAGATCAAGATACCATGGGTGGACAAAATACTCTTTGTGATCTGTAAATGTAAATGGTCATACCATCCTTTATCGTTTTTGAGCGTGATAGTGGGGGTTCATCATATAAACATGTTACACTGAACAGGACCTGCATGTGAATGTCTCTCCCTCTCTTGCAGAACACTGCTGTTCTGTCCAGTGCTATAGTCATCACCCTGGTTGGCATGATGCTGCACATCCACTTTGTGAAGGTGGACCACGAATCCCTGCTTGTCATTGGGTCCTTAGGCATTCAGGTGTCCTCCAACTACGCCTCAGGCCGCGAGACCACCACTTTCATTGAGATGAGCAAGATCAAGGATATTGTCATCAATGAAGCAATTTACATGGTGAATAAGTACATTTCTGTTGTGTGTGAATTTACATGAATAATACCATCATTGTACTTATTTTACAGTTACAATTATTTCACTTTATACTTTGTGAAATGAGTGGATTGATGTCTAATGTTTTTGTTTTTTTTTATGTCAGCATCAGATCATTTACTACCTTTGTGTACTGCTCAAGGACCCTTCAGAACCTAATGCAGTGTCAAGCGTTGTGCCATTGTTCCAGGTGAGGATAAATGCTCAGTGCACCCACATCTCAGACAGAAACTTGCTTTTGACAAATTACTTTCAGTGTTTTGTTTCTTGCTTACCTCCTGTACAAAGGCTTTTATTACACAGTGCCATTCACAGTAACCTGTTTCTAATAAACATTGTTCTTCATCTTTCAGAGTTCAAAGCCTAGGCTTAACTGCTTGGTGAAGGTTTACAAAAGCTGTCAGGAGATTCTTTCAAAGTGCTGATGACACACATTCATACATGCAGCATACTTTTTATATTTCTTTTTTTCAAGTCATTTTCTTTTCATTGAATGGAAGCAGAAAGCAGGTATCCCTCCCTCCATCCATCCATTAGCTATAACGTTTATCCTTTGAGGGTTGGTTGTATCATAATGACTCCATGTTGTAGTTTGTTGTGTAGTTACTTGAATAACTTATAGCACTGGTTATAGACTATTGTTTAAACCTAAAGAGCCAAACTTTTTAACTGTCACTGTATGAAAATGAATTATAAACAGTTTTGCATTTAAACTTGAATTCACTAATTAATCCTAATAATTTTTCTGTATTTTACACTGTATTTTTTGATAAAAATGAATTTGATTAAACAAAATAATTTGTGGTCTGTTTTTGAGTTATACTTTTCTTCCCCAGTAGGGGGCAGCACCACACTTCCCCAAACTCATAATCTGAATCAAACTGAATCAAACTCTTATGTATTTATCAATATTAGATACATAAGAGTTGTGACTATAGCACTTCAGATGTACAGTGAGTTTGTCTCAGTCTTTGTCTGTCCACCATGTTAATTACATAAGCAAACTGCTTCTGAATTGAGCTTGTATACGCAGAAAGCTTAGAAAGGACTTCTTGAAGGGGATGTATAAATGTGTAGTGTCAGTTGTGCTGTGTGTAGAGTATATTTTTATAAATAACATCCACACCCTCTTCCTCAAAGATATTTTCACTTCCTCATAACCATACCTTCATCTGGTAGGGAGAGTTGGTCACGTTTACCTCAGCCGGCAATAATCTCACTTGTGACTGTTGATATTACCACACCTGTTTTCAGAAATGCTACTTGAGGTTAACTAAGACCAAATGACAATGGCAGTGTATGTAGGAGCAGTTTCCGAGTTGTGCAGAGGAATGACCCTTGCACACTTTGCCTTAGAGTATTGGCCTTAACTCCTGATAGGAATTTGTAAAGCGTATAAGAATATAAATTATGTCCTGGCACTACTTTTTGTTGTGTAACATTTTTGTTAAATTGTAATAGGAATAATTGTTATCTCCTATATAAAGCATGATGCTGCATCTACATTTTTCAGACTAGTAGTCATGTTCAAAGAAGTTTATTTTATTAACTCACCATGTCAAATACTTTGAGATTACACCAAAACAAAGAAGGACGAGTTTAGCAAAGCTGAGTCAGGTACATATTTACACAGGATTTACTGTAAACCACTTTGTACTGCTGTTGAAATAAAGTGCTGTATAAATGTAGTCAAGTAAAAGAATGTAAATAGAGAGGATGTGTTCAGTATTTTCAACCAGGATGAGAAAGGGTTCCTCACAAAAACTACATATGATTGTAACTAATTTATAACAGTGTATTGAACATATAATGAGTTACCACTGCCTGCAGCTTAAAGTTCAGAGCCCTTGTTTTCACCACCACTCGGTCTGTGTTTCTCGCCAGGCCTTGCTTTTTCCATCCATTCTAATTCTCGGCGACCATCTGCAGCTCCCAATCAGACCTGTGTGTGAACTCCGTGCTCCACAGGCCAACAAAACAAGCAGAAGGGTGTGATTTTCATGGGGCGAAGCATTATGCTGCTGTGAAGAGTGGCCCTCTGACGGGATAATTGTCCCTCCTGGAGGTGTGAAACGGCCAGGAACCAGGCAGAGGGGAAAACCTGGGAGTGACCAGGAGTGACACCTCCTCAGGGCTTCTGAATAGGCCTCATAAACCAGCAGTATCCCCACTGAGTCTAAATCTTAGGCAGGGTAAAGGTTTGGCAGGGCAGAAACACAGTGAGGCTTTCTTCAGCCAGAGGTGTGGACTGTTAATTACCCTTGTTTACAATAGGGTTGTAATTAGACATTAACTTTTTTGATTTGCCCACAGTATTTCTGTGGATGTTTTTCACTTTCAAATAGTCATTGATAAAGACTGAACTCTGGTTGTCTTTCTTGTAACTGCTGGTTTTCATTAAATTTGTGTTTTTTATGTAATTTATGTGGTTCATTATCTTAATGGTGACTGTTTAAAATCAGCTTATGGTGTTTAGGGTGTTAGAATCTCATGGTTTAGCGGGAGGGGAGGGATTGGAGTCCCACTGAGATGGGGAGTTGCCCCTTTACCGCCTGCAGTGCAAAAACACACACACACACACACACACACACACACACACACACACACACACAGACACAGACATATGCACACATTCAAATTCACACAAACAAATCATAATCATGACACACTCAGACGTTGCTCTTATTCCCTGTCTTGCAGAGAGTTAGATAGCTTCCATTATCACTCTTATATTTATCTGTGCAATATGAAGCTACAGCCAGCAGCCAGATAGCTTAGCTTAGCATAAAGACTTGTAACAGGAGGAAACAACTAGACTAAATCCACCTACCAGCACCTTTAAAGCTCACAAATTAACACATTATATTGTTTGTTTAATCTTTCCATAAATCTAGGCACAAAAAAACAATTTGCTGTTTCACAGGGGGATATGTGTGGGTCTTCACCGAGACTGCTCCCAGCCAAGAGATAGTACAACACATAAATGTCTGGAAAATTGCGAATTGTAGTTCTTACATGTATGGTTTAAAAGAATGAGGTATAACATGTTAGGTAGAGAACTTAAGAGGTGCTGCGAGGTGGATTTTGCTACTGTCCCACAAAGCGGGGTTAACTGTTCTCTCCTGGTTCCAGTCTTTATGCTAATCTAAGTTAAAAGACTGGTACATATTTTCCATATAGGTATGAGAGTGGTATCAATCTTCTCATCAAACATCAGAAAGAAAGCGAGTAAGTTTATTTCCCAAAATGTCACACTAAGTCACACATTTACTGTATGTAACCTTTACTTCAGGGTATATTAGAGGTGCACACATTGGATTTAACAGAAAATATGTAAATACATCAATATATTTTACATGTGCAATGACTTGTCATCTGGTGCAACAGAAACTGTTTGCCTACAATGGTATAATTCTGTGTAGTGTTGTGTCTTTGTGTTGTTTTTCCCGGCTGACAGACGCTGAAGGAACAAAGTGGATTGTTTGAAAAGTGTCCGTTTATCTGCTCCACCTACCGGTCCATACAGGCAGGTGTAACCTGATGTCAGTTTGAATTTGAATCTCAAAAAAAATCCCTCCCTGCCTCACTGTTAACGTCAGAGGGAGTTATACCAGTCACTTCATTCTCTCTCACTGAACGCAAATGAACATGAATACAGTGCTATAGTCTCATATGGAAGTGTATCTTCCTGTAGGACATATATTTGCATATTCCCCAGATAGATTTTCTTCATTGAGGGGTTTACTCCGTGTGTCATGTAAAGTTACCTATTTTTTTCTAAAGTTAGTTGAGATATTCTATTTTTTTAAATTGTTTTTATTATCATTCTTTGCATTTTGGACATGTAATAATGTGATTTTCCAGTTTACCCTGACTGTTTGTCATTAGAGCTTACCTTGGGGACTCTAACTGCAGAACCTTATTGTTCTTCTCCCTAACACTGAAGATGTACCTGATCACCTTTCTGTTCAAACCAATGTGTCCTTTTGTGCATCCAGCATGGACAGGCCAGTGCAGCCTCATCACTGCAAGAAGACTACAGGAAATGTCTAGAATAAGTCATTTCAAGACAATGAAATACTTAAATAAAGATTTGGTTATAAATGAAAGATAGTAAAAACAGACTTGTTTATATATTGTCACTAACTGACATTTTACTATGCAATGGTTTAACAGATTTACAGAAAACAAGCGCTATTCAGCAAGTTCAACGGTGCTCAGCCTCCTCCACACTAAACTAGACTGTGGTCACATTAATGACAACAGAGGCAGAGATAAGACTAAGCTGCAGGTTGAAGTATAAGCCTGGTCTGCTGGGTGGCATTGCAGAACCGGTCTTGACACAAAGGAGTATTTATCAAACTCTGTGGAACCTTTCTGGTAACATGATCCACTGTACATTGTAGCTGCTAAAGCTCATTGTGAAAAAAGTCCATGATATAAATCCAAATGTCATTTCAAGTCCTCCTCTAACCCCTCTCTTTAGACTGTCTTTCTTAGTGACACTGAGGGTCTTTGAGCTGTGAGAAGTTACGTTGGTTGTAAAATCAACATATGTTCAAAGACTTTGTGTAATCCATCAACCCGTTAACTGCAGGCTGTGACATTATACTGCTTTTAACGTCTGGAACAATCATGATAAATAGTTTTTTTCTTCAGGGGAAGACTTGCTTTTATTTGCTCAGAAACCAGTTTCCTTCCTGGGGAGGAAAGTCCAACGTTGCCTTCTTTCTGTCCTCTGACAGGAGACAATAATGGACCTCATTGTTGAGGTTTACCCAAGCTTTTATCACCTAATCCAGCTACTCGGCTGCTACTGCCACTGCCCAGTGAAACTTTTAGATATTGTTAATATGAGTTGCTCATCCTGTTGAGCCTTTAGCATCCTGTTGAGCCTTTAGCATGATGGCAGCCAAGCTGATTTTTCTAATCAGTTTAAATGTAAATTAGGTTTTTGAAAAGTACAATGATACAAATGAAAATGATTCTGCTCAGGCCACGCCCTCGCGGCGTCACCTGGTAGATGTGAGGTAAGTGAGACGAACTTCTAGTCAGACCAGCTGGCAGCAGATAAGAGAGCTGAAGCCTGCTCTACAGGTCTGTCGGGGGAGCTGACAGCAGAGAGCTACATGCAAACACACCTCCGTTTTCTCTGTTTGTCTCTAAAGAAAAGAGCCAAGCCATTGTCATGAGTCTGTCGGGCATGCGGTTTTGTGTGTGTGTTTATGTGTGTATGAAGGCAGGCCTAAACTGCCATTTTCAAATCCTCTGGCCATGTTTGAACTGCTACAAGTTTGCTTTTAATGTACTGGAATTATTTGATTTGATTGTCCCTCTATATTGCGTGTGTCCTCATTACATTGCACTATTCCCACTCCCATATCAGTAATAAACTATTGCTGTGTGATGACAGCTGCTCACTCTCTTCACTTCCAGTGGTGCCACAGTATCTGTGACCAGTGAGTGAGTCAGAATGAATGTCATTTGCATAAAACTTTAAAGGCAATAAATTTAAAAAGGGCAATCAATAAAGAATTTTTTTTTTAAATTTAGGCTTTAGAGAGAGTCCTCTAATCCATGGAGTGTTTGGTTAGTTTTATTATTTTTATAATAAATCACAAAGAAGAAGCAAACCACAAACAAGATCACCAACTGCTCTGATTTTATTGTTGCCATTTCTTGTTTTTGTGTTGATTCACATCTTTTATTTTGTGTCAGTTCTGATTGTGAATCATCCCAACAACCAAACCTCCCCT